ACCCAGACTGTATATTAGTGAAGTTATTAACTGTTTTTGCGCGGCGCCTTGCTAAATTCGGGAATGGTGCTTACGTCAAAGCACAACTCCCGTTTGGATGACGACTTCGGGAGCGAACGATTTGCATGGTGGGCGTGCGCGCGAGTGTACCGCACCTACGGGCCGCGCCAGGGCCGCGGCCGGGGCCGGGGACGGGGACAACAGTGCACCAGCAGCAGGCCTGCGGCGCGGCAACCTCGTCCCCAGGGTGTTGAGCAGTACGCGCCCACCACTACCTGCTCTCTCACCCTGGTATTGGATCATTTGCACGTGCAAGATTTTTGCACACGTATGCAAATGAGGAACAGTCTGGTGCCTGGATATGCGTTACACATTAGCGTTTGTTTTTGTATGCGGTGTCTGGGGTAAAAACAGAGTCAATTCGTAGCAGCGTGAGCACGGCGTGAGTGACGAAAACACGATTTTTGAAATCAAACTGTTACGATCTTTATCGAGACAACATGCAGTATCATATTTCATATTAATATGAGCAAATTGGAAAGGAAATTAGTATTTTCGAGAAGGCGTGGACGAATGATCGCGATGAAACACGTACTGCACGTTGTGAATATATAGCACCAAGTACACGATAAAAATCCATTACCAGCCAATTGCGGTATCCAATCAGGATACAGGAAGAAAGTTTCCTATCCAGGGTTTACTATTGGAAACGCGGTTGGAAATAAAGTAAGCACTGGGGACGAGGTTGGCGGCGCGGTGACCCGTGTCGCGTATAATTTTGCCAATTCTCCTCATTGAAGTCCGCCATGACCGTCACACGCGTATCGGCGGCTGATGCGCGTGCGCGCGCTAGCGATAGGTTGAGTATTACTACGCGTGCCTTCTTGCAGAAATATAGGTCGGTTGATTAACATCTAAACGTTAATTTCATTTTGATAATTATTGATGAAGGGTGGAAAAATCTAAAAATGTATACCTGTGCGCTGAATTTATTATAATACATCTATATAACAACTTATGCGTGCCAAGGGCGGATCCAGAACACAATTTTGGGGGGCCAAAACAATTTTGGTCCTCCAAAAAAGTGGGTCCAAAAATTACGGCGTGAGGTTCGGGGCCCGCTTAAGGGCCCCGAAAAAATTTTGGATTCTAGATGCTCTGTGGTGCGATCTGAGGCAATTTCTGACCACTTTAACCAATGTTTTTTTGAGGAAAAGATGGTGGTGTACTCATTGCCTGCCTTTTTTGCGATGTCACATATAAAAAAAAAATTGGTTTCCTTTTTGGGGGGGGCCATGGCCCCCTTTGGCCCCCCCCCCTGGATCCGCCCTTGATGCGTGCAAAACCAGGGGGGACAGAATTAACTGGAGGGGACAGAATTACCTGGAGGGGGACAGAATTAACGGGACAGGGGTGGGGGGGGGGACACTTTTACCTAGGTAATTCTGTCCCCCGGACACTTTTACCGGGGGACAGAATTACCGTCCACACCGGCGCCCTAACAACTGAGTTTATTTGTTCAGTCCCACTGGCGATCCTCCACTACGTCTAGTAGTACAGGATGATTACATAGGTATTACTACAACAAATATACTTAAAATGCGTATTTACCAAGAAAAAGACGACAGTTCCCCGCTAAGACTCTTACGCGTCCAGTAATCCAGGCTTCTTTGCGTATTCTCGAAATAGGCCATGGGCGAATCGAGCAACCTGAAATTGATCAGCTTTTTGTCTTCTTCCGTGGGCCAGTAGAGAAGCTCCTTTGTCGTCAGCCAGGTGACATTGTGGCCCCTGGAGGCCAGTTCCCTGGCCATGGTCCGCTGGATGTGCGTGTGACTCCCGTCCATCATACAGTCCACGATCAGGATCCGTTTAGAGGTGCCCTTGGCCGCGGACAACGACGGGCCTCCGCTCGCTAGGCCCGGCGCATCGGAGGCGGACGAGGCCCGATCGCGCAGCCCGGAGACTTCACTTTCGAACCGGGCGGCAGTGACCAGGTCCAGTTTGCCATTTACGCGGCGTGTTGGTCCGTTGTTTCCGCTAGCCTCGGTTGAATCGCCACATGTGCTTTGTCCATTGGCCGTAAGAAGCCACATAGCGACAAGAAAAAACACTACTTTTTGTTTTCCCATGACTGATAAAAACAAAATTTGGATTAAGAGCGTATTTTTAATGTCGGGTTTTGCTCTATAACTTCATAATCACTGCATACTCAAGAGCCTACCGAAGTAAAAAATAACGCGAAATCACTACACGCCATTAAATAACCATGTATACTATAAAGTGAGGATAACATAAAGTAGTGCGGGACTTCATGTGCAGGTTCAAGGCTTCGTTTCAGATTAAACTAACCGGCATATTTTGTGGCTGTATTTGAACATCGACGGGTACTTTCAAGGTCTGAAGACCGATTTTTTTTATTGCAAGTATACTGCCTTTACATGGGAAAGGCTGCAGTGTTTCAAAATATGACTGGAATATCCTTCCTTGGAAGGATTAATATATTTAATATATAAAATAATCTTGTAATAAGGAACTGACACGGTGCCGAGGGCCTAGAGGGGTCTTCCTTTTTGCAGTGGGGTGCGACCGGGCCGTGGGTTGGGAAGAATAATTCAATGACACGTGATCAACCAACCGCCAATAAGATGAAAGGGGTTTATTCAGGTGATATTTGACATAATGTGTACATGATTTTGTCCGTGTTTGCAGACGGCAAAATATGGAGGCACCTTCTTTTTTTAACCAAACAAGATGTGGGTGGTTCGTTTGCTGAATCATTGACGGATCCTGGATTTACAAAGCAGGCGGAGGGGTGGATGTTGACATGATTCCCTGGTCCCTCTGTTGTCCTTACGACGTAAAATGTTTGTAAATTATATGCAGGACTAGTAAGATACACCCATAATGCAACTGGGTTGCCGCACTGTAAACATGGCGGCCACTATGTGTGGTGAGATGTACAAGTATAATTACGAAGAATCGTTTAGATTTTCGCTCAATTCTAAAGTGTCTCTGGCAACTATCAATATGAAGAGAGTGGCACTGCTTTTCAGTATTTGAAACCTATGCAGTTGAAATGCTTGAAAGTTGCCTTCGTGGAGACACGTACTATGGCGATTTTGCCTACTGATTAGGGTAAGAGTAGGTTTTTAAGCTCTGGCAGGAGCTTCTTCATGTCGCTTGGTTATCGGTCTGTCGGTCTGGCTGTCTGTCTGTCCTCGAAAATTGACCAAAAACATTTGACAAAAAAAATGAGCAAGTGCCATATGCCGTCGTCAGTAATTGCACTCTTGGCGAAAGTTTTCGGAAGGCGGAATTTTGTATCGGTCGATGCGCATGCGCGTCTATTTTGCATATGTCTGTCCCCGGAAAATAATTGACCAAAAACGAGCCACCTAAGTTTCCCATGAAATATAACTACCACATTTTTATTCTAAAAAACACAAAGAACAATTCATATAGTTGTTTATGAAACTTTGTAAATGGAGCCTAAATATGTGCAGTAATGTGATAGTCACGTGGTATTACGGTAGTTGGACATTATCCAGAAGGAGAAAATGAAAATTGACCAAACGACGGTGATCCATTATTATGTGCCATCGGCGTCGCATCATCGCCAATTCGCTTGTATCCCCGCCCTGCCAACAGGACGCTGGTATACTCTCATGAGCTTCACAGAATCTTGTGAAGGAAGTGGCCTATGACCTATGTATAAACATGGAGTTAGAATCTAATTCTACCTCCATGGTATAAAGCATCTGGCTCCACTCCCTAGCTGTTCAAGACCGCAGCTAAACAATGTGCGCAAATCAGTGCAATCCGAAAACTTCATATAGAAATGCACACGTTCCATAGCGGATGTGCCTGCCAGTGCGTTACATTTGAGTTTGTTTTTGTATGCGGTATCTGGGATAAAAACAGAATCAATTCATCGCAGCGCGAGCATGGCGTGAGTTAAAACACCATTGTATTTCAATTAAACTGTTACGATCTTAACGAGACAACATGCAGTATCATATTTCATATTAATATGAACAAATTGGAAAGAAATTAATATTTTCGAGAAGGCATGGACGAATGATCGCGAAAACACGTAATGCACGTTGTGAATAACACCACCAAGTACACGATATAAATCCATTTCTAGTCAATTGCGGTATCGAATCGGGATACAGGAGGAAAGTTTCCTATCCAGGGTTTACTACTGAAAACGTGTTGGAAATAAAGTAAGCACTCGGGACGAGGTTGAATCCATATGCATAGAGAGAGTCTACTCTTACGCCATTTAAGTTAAAGGGTTCATGCGATGCCTTTTTTAGGGTCATTACGTTTAAATAGTGATATTCTTTGAACAGATTGAGCAATTTCAATATTTTTTTCATCTAAAAGTAGTTTCTGAACTTTGCAGATTTTTCTCATCAGTGATTGAGAAGCGAGAAGGCTAATACAATCAGGTATAATGGCACATGACACATGGCTGACTGATTTACCGCTGGTTCAGTTATTATTCTCTCATTCCCGTACCAGCCAAGCAAGGGCGGCGGAACCGGGGGGGGGGGGGCTGGGGGGGGGGGCATTTGCCCCCCCCCCCCAGATTTTCTCAAGTGCCCCTTTTGCGGCCATAAATGTGCCCCCTCTAACAGTAAAGTGCCCCCTCAAGATACAACAAAAGTGCCCTTAAGTATCGTACTATTTCTCAGAAGTAACCATATCCCAATAATGGTATAGATATTTTTGATATAAACGAGGAATATGAAAACCAAGTCCCAAAACCCATACAATACGGCCTGAAAAAGGGCACATAATGCATATTTAGCATATAATCGTTGGTTTTGAAGAGCGCCCCCTATGTTTGAAGATGGTACCAGCACCCCCCCCCCCCCCCCCCCCCCCCCCCCCCCCCCCCCCCCCCCCTACTATTTGATATTACGGAGACCAAGTGTCAGGTGAAAAAAACGTGTCGACATTTCAGCACGGGTTTGCAAGTGCCCCTTTTGGGTGATGCCCCCCCCCCCAGTTTCAAACCCGTTCCGCCGCCGCTGCAGCCAAGTACGACGATTAAGCTCTTATCCCTGCTTTTGTCTACGACAACAACAACAGCATAATTTATTCAAGGCCCATAAAACAGCTCCGATCGCCGCTACGTAAATACACGCGACATCGAGTAGGATGTGCTGGTACCAGGCGAGGCTGTCCTGTTTCGTCTGTAGATGCGCCGTACCGTGTTCCATGGCGTACTCGATCCAGCGGGCGGTCCGTGCTAAGGGCAAGCCCTCCGTCACGCCTTGCTCGCTCTGTGAGTCCCGTAACTTGCCCGACGCTCGCGTGGCATTCTCTCGGTATCTGTCGATGTACAAACAAGACGAAAGGGAAAATGCTTACTTACTTATTACAGATGTGTATCAGTGTCAGCATAAATCGGGATGGGTTATCTCCTCTTGGACATACACAGACATGATTAGGTCTTACCTACGGAAGAGTAAGATATGTCGGCTTTGACCCGAAAAAGTATAACTGATAAAAGTTTTGCAAAGATCTATAGATCCATCCCAATGAATAAAGAAAAGTGAAGAGGAACGATAATCTATCAAAACTGTAATTCGCAAAGAACTCTTCTACTTCTAGATTTTTTTTACGCTCAATACAATGTAGATGACGTCTGGATTATGCTAGAAAAAGGTGAATTTTGGTAATCTTTAAACTTTAGACTTGACTCTTGGATCATGACTTACGACGGGTCATCCAAGACTCTTCTGATCCCCTGGTAGAGCTGCTCCGACGTCAGACCTCGCACCCCCTTGGGGAAGTAGTCAGCCATGCCCACGTGATACTTGAGCCGGACCATGTCGTCCACCTGATCCGTGAACAGGGGAATCCCCAAAATGGGCACGCCGTAGTACATGGCCTCGTAGCCTCCGTTCAAGCCACCGTGGTAGATCAATAGACGGGTCTTCTCGTGCGCTGAGACAAGGCAAACAAAATAACGATAAGCATTAAAACAATCAGTGAAAATCAGGATGGGCGACAATTGCCTTGGAAGATGATCACTCCTGAAGTCCCCCCGAAACCCACTGCTGTTATGTAAAGATGCTCCCTCAGCCACCATTGGCCTCCTATGGCAATGCCCACTCACCCATCAAGTCCTTCTGCGAGATCCACGGCACGATCATGGTGTTGTTACCGAGTGCTCCGGGCCTCTCCTCGCCGAGGTACTTCCAGATGACCCGCTGGGGCAGTTTGGCCAGGGCCGCTGCGATCATTTCCGCCATATCCATGTCCATGACGTGTAGCAGTGTGCTCACGGAGAAAATGACCACCCCGTGCTCGCCTGAACCCTGGATGAAATCTTCGAAAACCTAGGAAGAGGAAGAACATGCGGACAAAATACACAGTTAAACACAGATGCAAGTTACTCTTATTTAGGAACTTGTTAGGAATACATTGGGATGAAGTTAGGGACTGGAAATCAAGGGCTGATCCAAAACACAATTTTTTGAGGGGCCAACAAAAATTGTGGTCCCCCATGGAGGAATAAAAACACCTCCATGGGTCCCCCAATGCAAAAAGTGGCCCAAAATATTACGGTGTGGGGTTCGCGGCCCACTCAAGGGCCCTGAATTATTTTTTTTTTGATTCTGGATGCTCTGTGGTGCGAAAATTGGGTTCTTTGCGATGTGCAAAGGGTCAGGAAGATGGTTGTTGACTGTACCTGCGGCAATGGTTTTGGAGGACCAATTGTCAGCCCACCTATCAGAATCGTATTTGGAGAAATCGGTCTTGGAAACTCGATGTGAAAATCCCAGTTGAGGATGAAGAGTTCGGAGCGGGCCACGATCTCTCTGGTGCCCATCCGGGTGTCCAGGCCGGCCTCGGCCCGGGCCCGGTCCACACCGGCAAACAGGACGTAGTCGTAGATGAGCAGCGTGGCGGCCGATATCAGGTAATTCTTGACTCGCTGGGGGAACGACATGATGTCTGTGTACCCGGTGACGAACTCGGGGACGTAGGCTAAAGGGCTGGGCTGCTTGGCCCAGCGGCTGTACCGTGTGCCCAGAAAGCCGCCGTTAACGGTGTTGATGAACGGCACCTTAAGGATGTCGTGGGCCACCGAGCTACACGCCGGAAACATGACTTCGCAAAGGACCAGATCAAAGTTGGCTGCACGGAGCTCATCGAAATCCGTTGACTGGAATAACATTCTCATCAGGCTAGCCACTCCGTCGAAAATGTGTTGGACTTGGTCGTCCGGCCTTCCTAGCCACATCTTCGCATACCTGATGACAAGTTGGTAAAAAGAAGTAAGGCTCAGGCTTGTCAGATGGAAAAATTTCTCTGAAAATCTTCTGATGTAGAATTAGAAGATTATGATACTAATTTCATTTACATTTTATATTTACAGCAGGTAGGTTTTAAGCATTGTTATGGAAGTAAATGTCCAGATGAACCAGAATGACTGAAACGGAACTAGAACTCAAGACCTTTGGAATACCATGCCGGCGCCCTAACAACTGAGTTTATTTGTTCAGTCCCACTGGCGATCCCCCACTACGTCAATGTCTAGTAGTACAGGATGATTACGTAGGTATTACTACAACAAATATACTTAAAATGCGTATTTACCAAGAAAAAGACGACAGTTCCCCGCTTAGACTCTTACGCGTCCAGTAATCCAGGTTTCTTTGCTTATTCTCGAAATAGGCCATGGGCGAACCGAGCAACCTGAAATTGATCAGCTTTTTGTCTTCTTCCGTGGGCCAGTAGAGAAGCTCCTTTGTCGTCAGCCAGGTGACATTGTGGCCCCTGGAGGCCAGCTCCCTGGCCATGGTCCGCTGGATGTGCGTGTGACTCCCGTCCAGCAAACAGTCCACGATCAGGATCCGTTTAGAGGTGCCCTTGGCCGCGGACAACGACGGGCCTCCGCTCGCTAGGCCCGGCGCATCGGAGGCGGACGAGGCCCGATCGCGCAGCCCGGAGACTTCACTTTCGAACCGGGCGGCAGTGACCAGGTCCAGTTTGCCATTTACGCGGCGTGTTGGTCCGTTGTTTCCGCTAGCCTCGGTTGAATCGCCACCCGTGCTTTGTCCATTGGCCGTAAGAAGCCACATAGCGACAAGAAAAAACACTACTTTTTGTTTTCCCATGACTGAAAAAACAAAATTTGTATCAAGAGCGTATTTTTAATGTCGGGTTTTGCTCTATAACTTCATAATCACTGCATACTCAAGAGCCTACCGAATAAAAATAACGCAAAATCACTACACGCCATTAAATAACCATGTATACTATAAAGCGAGGATAACATATTAAATGAAGTAGTGCGGGACTTCAAATGCAGGTCAAGGCTTCGTTTCAGATTAAATTAACCGGCATATTTTGTGGCTGTATTTGAACATCGACGGGTGCTTTCAAGGTCGGAATACCGATTTTTTTTATTGCAAGTATACTGCCTTTACATGAGAAAGGCAGTGTTTCAAAATATGACTGGAATATCCTTGCTTGGAAGAGTTAATATATTAAATATATAAAATAATCTTGTAATGAGGAACTGACACGTTGCCGAGGGCCTAGAGTGGTCTTCCTTTTTGCAGTGGGGTGCGACCGGGCCGTGGGTTGGGAAGAATAATTCAATGACACGTGATCAACCAACCGCCAATAAGATGAAAGGGATTTATTCAGGTGATATTTGACATAATGTGTACATGATTTTGTCCGTGTTTGCAGACGGCAAAATATGGAGGCACCTTCTTTTTTTAACCAAACAAGATGTGGGTGGTTCGTTTGCTGAATCATTGACGGATCCTGGATTTACAAAGCAGGCGGAGGGGTGGATGTTGACATGATTCCCTGGTCCCTCTGTTGTCCTTACGACTTCAAATGTTTGCAAATTATATGCAGGACTAGTAAGATACACCCATAATGCAACTGGGTTGCCGCACTGTAAACATGGCGGCCACCATGTGTGGTGATGTACAAGTACGTGTAATTACGAAGAATCGTTTAGATTTTCGCTCAATTCTAAAGCGTCTTTGGCAACTATCAATATGAAGAGAGTGGCACTGCTTATGCAGTTGAAATGCTTGAAAGTTGTCTTTGTGGAGACACTATGGCGATTTTGCCTACTTATTAGGGTATAAGAGTAGGGTTTTAAGCTTTGGCAGGAGCTTCTTCATGTCGCTTGGTTATCGGTCTGTCGGTCTGGCTGTCTGTCTGTCCTCGAAAATTGACCAAAAATATTTGAAAAAAAAATGAGCAAGTGCCATATGCTGTCGTCAGTAATTGCACTCTTCGCGAAAGTTTTCGGAAGGCGGTTTTTGTATCGGTCGATGCGCATGCGCGTCTATTTTGCATATGTCTGTCCCCGGAAAATAATTGACCAAAAACGAGCCACCTAAGTTTCCCATAAAATATAACTACCAAATGTTAATTAAAAAAAAACACAACGAACAATTCATACAGTTGTTTATTAAACTTTTGTAAATGGAGGCTAAATATGTGCAGTAATGTGATAGTCACGTGGTATTACGGTAGTTGGAAGTTATCCAGAAGGAGAAAATGAAATTGACCAAACGACGGTGCTCCGTGCCGTCGGCGTCGCATCATCGCCAGAGCTTCTTGTGCACTCGCACTTATTTTATAGTCATGTGTTTAGCTGTCATCATTGCGCAAAGCTGTAAACATTTTTAAAAATACGAAATCATACTGCGCACGCGCTCAGGTAATCCGATCAATGGCTTTAATTCGCTCGTACCCCCTGCCCTGCAAACAGGGGCCAATTTCATGGCGCTGCTAAGCACAAACTTATTTTGCTTAGCACAAAAAAAGTCTGGTTTATAAAAGTAGGTTACCAGCCGAAACTCCATGTGATTTTCATGCTAAGCAAACAACAGCTGAATACTGATCACGAGCAATATACATCACGTGGAGTTTTGGCTGGTTACCTGCTTTTATAAGCCAGACTATTTTTGTGCTAAGCACATTTTTGTGCTAAGCAGCGCCGTGAAATTGGGCCCAGGACGCTGGGATACTCTGATGAATTCGCGCTCTGATTGGTTGGATTTTGCGTGACCAGTGACATGCGCGTCATCAAGGTCGTGACTCTGCAAGGTTTAAAACGGCCGTTAAGACTGATTCATTACTCTTTTATTCCAGTTTAGAGATGTTTTTTCTCGTTAAAAAGCGTAATAATGTAGGAAATTCTGTAAAACTTATCTGTGTTGTAAATTTACAATTCCCGTCACTCGCTCAGACTTCGTTTCGAATCACGAACGGTCGGATTGCATTATGCGACGCTAAAAATTTTGTCCACATGGTCCGCAATGAAACAGAAATCACATCCGGTATGGAATTCGGCAATTCTATGGGAAGTTTTCGGATAGCATTTGTGCACATTGTCTAACTGCGGTCTCGAACAGCTGCAGCAAGATGCTTTATACATAGGTCATAGGCCATTTCCTTCACAAGATTCTGTGAAGCTCATCAGAGTATCCCAGCGTCCTGTTTGCAGGGCGGGGGGTACGAGCGAATGGCTTTAAATGGTAACTAGCTACCGGTCCCCATATTATGGGAGCGGGAACCAGACTATAAAATGAAATCCATATCAACTTCGTCCCCAGGGTGTTGAGCAGTACACGCCCGCCACTACCTGCTCTCTCACCCTTGTATTGGATCATTTACATGTGCAAGAATTGTGAACACGTATGAAAATGAGAAGTAGTCTGGTGCCTGCCAGTGCGTTACATTTGCGTTTGTTTTTGTATGCGGTGTCTGGGGTAAAAACAGAATCAATTCGTCGCAGCGGGAGTATGGCTTCGCTCGTACCCCCCCCCCCCCCCCCCTGCAAACAGGACGCTGGGATACTCTGATAAATTCAGCTCTGATTGGTTGGATTTTGCGTGACCAGTCACCTGCGCATCATCAAGGTCATGACTCTGCAAGGTTTGAAACGGCCGTTAAGACTGATTCATTACTCTGAGTTAAAACACCATTTTATTTCAATTAAACTGTTAAGATCTTAACGAGACAACATGCAGTATCTTATTTCATATTAATATTAACAAATTGGAAAGAAATTAATATTTTCGAGAAGGCATGGACGAATGATCGCGAAAACACGTAATGCACGTTGTGAAAAACACCACCAAGTACACGATATAAATCCATTTCTAGCCAATTGCGGTATCGAATCGGGATACAGGAGGAAAGTTTCCTATCCAGGTTTTACTACTGGAAACGTGGTTGGAAATAAAGTAAGCACTGGGGACGAGGTTGAATCCATATGCATAGAGAGAGTCTATACTCTTACGCCATTTAAGTTAAATTTGGTTCATCCGACGACTTTTTTAGGGTCATTACGTTTAAATAGTGATATTCTTTGAACAGATTGAGCAATTTCAGTAATTTTTTCATCTAAACGTAGTGTCTGAACTTTGCAGATTTTTCTCATCAGTGATTGAGAAGCGAGATCGAAGGCTAATAGTAATACAATCAGGTATAATGGCACATGACTGACTGATTTACTGCTGGATCAGTTATAATTCACACATTCCCGTACCAGCCAAGTACGACGATTCAACTCTTATCCCTGCTTTTGTCTACGACAACAACAACAGCATAATTTATTCAAGGCCCATAGAACAGCTCCGATCGCCGCTACGTAAATACACGTGACATCGAGTAGGATGTGCTGGTACCAGGCGAGGCTGTCCTGTTTCGTCTGTAGATGCGCCGTACCGTGTTCCATGGCGTACTCGATCCAGCGGGCGGTCCGTGCTAAGGGCAAGCCCTCCGTCACGCCTCGCTCGCTCTGTGAGTCCCGTAACTTGCCCGACGCTCGCGTGGCATTCTCTTGGTATCTGTCAATGTACAAACAAGACGAAAGGGAAAATGCTTACTTACTTACTTACAGATGTGTATCAGTGTCTGCATCAATCGGGGTGGGTTATCTCCTCCTGAACATACACAGACATGATTAGGTCTTACCTACGGAAGAGTAAGATATGTCGTTTTTGACCCGAAAAAGCATAACTGATCAAAGTTTTGCAAAGATCTAAAGATCCATCCAAATAAATCAAGAAAAGTGAAGTCGAACGATAATCTATCAAAACTGTAATTCGCCAAGAACTCTTCTACTTCTAGATTTTTTTTACGCTTCTAATACAACGTAGATGACGTCTGGATTATGCTAGAAAAAGGTGAATTTTGGTAATCTTTAATCTTAAAACTTGACTCTGTGATCATGACTTACGACGGGTCATCCAAGACTCTTCTGATCCCCTGGTAGAGCTGCTCCGACGTCAGACCTCGCACCCCCTTGGGGAAGTAGTCAGCCATGCCCACGTGATACTTGAGCCGAACCAGATCGTCCACCTGATCCGTGAACAGGGGAATCCCCAAAATGGGCACGCCGTAGTACATGGCCTCGTAGCCTCCGTTCAAGCCGCCGTGGTAGATCAATAGACGGGTCTTCTCGTGCGCTGAGTCAAGGCAAACAAAATAACGATAAGCATTAAAATAATCAGTTAAAATCAGGATGGGCGACAATTGCCTTGGAAGATGATCACTCCTGAAGTTCCCCCGAAACTCAGTGCTGTTATTTATAGATGTTCCCTCAGCCCCTATATTGGCCATGCACACTCACCCATCAAGTCCTTCTGCGAGATCCACGGCACGATCATGGTGTTGTTACCGAGTGCTCCGGGCCTCTCCTCGCCGAGGTACTTCCAGATGACCCGCTGGGGCAGTTTGGCCAGGGCCGCTGCGATCATTTCCGCCATGTCCATGTCCATGACGTGTAGGAGTGTGCTCACGGAGAAAATGACCACCCCGTGCTCGCCTGAACCCTGGATGAAATCTTCGAAAACCTAGGAAGAGCATACGGAAAAAATAGACGGTCGAAACAGAAGCAAGCAGGGGCGGATCCAGCATTTCTTTGCGGGGGGGGGGGGGGTCATCCGCAAAACAATTCTCAAATGTGGACAGTTTTTTTTTCTGTGGACACTTGGCTTCCGTAAAATCAATAGGGGGGGGGGGGGAGAGGCTCGTACTTTCGATGGGGGCGCTATTCAAACCCAATGATCATCAACACTATATTACAGAATAGTGTACAAATATCCCCCTAACCCAGTCAGAGCAGGGGGGGGGGGTTCACATTATTTGTCAGATATTTCTATGAAAAAAAACAGAGATTGGGGGGGGGGGGGAGTTGACCCCCAAATATCCCCTCTGGATCCGCGCCTGGCAAGTTTATACTTTTATTTAGGAGCTTGTTTAAAACATTAAATAACCTGAACATTTTAAACATGATTGTGTTGCACGCCTAAGACTGGGCTCTTAATGGTTTTCATAAAAATAGGCTGAGCCAAAACTTAGATATAAAATACGGTTATGGGTTGGGATTCAGTGGCGCACCCAGGATTTGGCTTTTTGGGGGGGCCTCACAATTTTTTTTTCAATTTTTTTAGAAGTTATTATTTTTTACAAAACATTTTGCCCAAAATTTTTGGCCGCAGAAAAAAAAGAAGGGTTTTTTTTTTTTTTTTTGGGGGGGGGGCGGACTTTTTTGACGTTGGTAGCGCCACTTACACCCCTATTATACTACCCGAAATTAGGCCACATACATATCACCAACATTATATATACATAGGCCTATCACCAAGATTAAATCGTGGGAGTACAAAAAAAATTAAGCACAAAAGAATTAACAAAAATTGACAAAGATTGACCCCCCCCTTTGGTGCGCCACTCTTTGGATTCGAACCTAGAACAGGATTCTCACTCCACCGATGCATGCGAACTAGCTATAAAACCCAACCACTTGCCATCATGTGTTTTAAAGTGTCATCAGAATTTACGTAGAAAAATATGCAATTTAAGCTGTAATTGTGTGCAAAGAAAGACGGGTGTTGCTGACTGACTGTACCTGCGGCAATGGTTTGGGCGGACCAATTGTCAGCCCACCGATCAGAATCGTGTTGGGAGAAATTGGTCTGGGAAACTCGATGTGAAAATCCCAGTTGAGGATGAAGAGTTCGGAGCGGGCCACGATCTCTCTGGTGCCCATCCGGGTGTCCAGGCCGGCCTCGGCCCGGGCCCGGTCCACGCCGGCAAACAGAACGTAGTCGTAGATGAGCAGCGTGGCGGCCGATATCAGGTAATTCTTGACTCGCTGGGGGAACGACATGATGTCTGTGTACCCGGTGACGAACTCGGGGACGTAGGCTAAAGGGCTGGGCTGCTTGGCCCAGCGGCTGTACCGTGTGCCCAGAAAGCCACCGTTAACGGTGTTGATGAACGGCACCTTAAGGATGTCGTGGGCCACCGAGCTACACGCCGGAAACATGACTTCGCAAAGGACCAGATCAAAGTTGGCTGCACGGAGCTCATCGTAATCCGTTTCTTGGAAAACAATTCTCATAAGGCCTTCCACTGCTTCAAAAATGCGTTTGACTTCGTCGTCCGGCCTTCCTAGCCACATCTTCGCATACCTGATGGAAAAGAAGTAAGGCCGTTTTCAGGTGGAAAGATTTATGTGAAAATCTTCTGATGCAGAATTAGAAGTTTCTGATGCTTATTTTATAAACCATTCCTTTACATTTATTTACAGCAGGTATGCCTAAAGCATTGTAATGAAAGTTGTTACAGTAAACCATTCATTTCGTAAATTTCCAGATGAACCAAAACTACTTAACCCTAAAAGGGTTGAGGGGGGCGGACCTCAACATTTTCCGCGATTGCCTTTAAAAAAAAATTATTCTTGACCCGAGCTGTTATGACTTTTTAGCCTCCAGCTTGGCGCATCTTTTGATACCAAGAACATGAAAACTGAATTTTCCCATAAACGTCGTGTACACAGAGCAGAATTGCCATTGGTACATATGAATAATTAATTACCCATAATTCCAAAACCCTTTGACCTATAGTCATGAAATTTCTTGGGTATGTTTAGGAAGAGTTGCTCTATGCATGTACTGAGTTTCAAAATTTTTCGTCACTCGATGGCCGAGATCCCCTCCCCGGCTGAGAGATGGTCAAAATAACCCGGCCCTTTTAGGGTTAAACGAAACTAGAACTCAAGACTTTTGGAATACCATGCGGGCGCCCTATACCAACTGAGTTTATCCATTCAGTCCCACTGGCGATCCCTCAATATGCCAATGTCTATACTTCGGAGGATTATTAATTGAATAACGTAGGTATTACTACAACAACAAAACTCAAGCAGCAGACTACTTAAACTCAATACTTACCAAGAAAAAGTCGACATTTCCCCGCTTAGACTCTTACGCGTCCAGTAATCCAGGATTTTTTGCTTATTCTCGAAATAGGCCATGGGCGAATTGAACAACCTGAAATTAATCAGCTTTTTGTCTTCTTCCGTGGGCCAGTAGAGAAGCTCCTTTGTCGTCAGCCAGGTGACATTGTGGCCCCTGGAGGCCAGTTCCCTGGCCGTGATCCGCTGGATGTGCGTGTGACTCCCGTCCATCATACAGTCCACGATCAGGATCCGTTTAGAGGTGCCGTTGGCCGCGGACAACGACGGGCCTCCGCCCGCTAGGCCCGGCGCATCGGAGGCGAACGAGGCCCGATCGCGCAGCCCGGAGACTTCACTTTCGAACCGGGCGGCAATGACCCGGTCCAGTTTGCCTTGTACGCGGCTTGTTGGTCCGTTGTTTCCGCTGGCCTCGGTTGAATCGCCACCCGTGCTTTGTCCATTGGCCGCAAGAAGCCACATAGCCACAAGCAAAAATACAACTTTTTGTTTCCCCATGGTTGAAAAAAAAATCGGTATCACCAGCTTTTGCTGGTTTTTCTCTTCACCGATGCAACTTCAAAATCACTATCCTTTTTTAATGCAACTATGCACGACGTCCACATCCTCTTGAACCATCCTCTTGAACACGCCAATACCCCTATTGTCCATGGGCCATGCAGACCAGATGCTGGTACCCGTACCACCGGAGGTGGTAAACCTTTAATGGTGTTAATTTCTTTGTTACATCACTGTGAGTAAAAAAAGGAGATTACTTTTCGTAATCAGTAGTTAAATATATTTTAGATGCAGGTAACCGTTTTAACGTTAACACTGCGTAGTATCAGGGATTGCCCCCGCCCCCACAATGAAGCTTATTATAATTACTCCTGAACGCTTTGGCTGATCGGTATGAAATTCGGTGATCCCTCTTATAAACTTCTACCTGAGGTCAATATGGTGTGTATTAAACCATGAATATATGTTCCATTTGATGATAGGGGGCGTCATTTTTTTTCATTTCGGGGAATGTTACACCCTGCCTGCCCCCCCCTTTTGTGCCTCTTTAATATACCATGTCAACTGCGGTATTAAGCCTTCCCGATGATTGATCGCTTTCGATCATCATTGGATCCTGTTATTTCCAGAGACAGTAGACTGCAGAACTTATAATTTTTTAATGTTTACCCATTATACACTAATTTGGTACCTGTCAAGAGTGCCCCCCAGTGGAAAAAGTGGAGAGGGGGTGGCGGGGGGCTGAGAATGACCCCATGCCCCCCCCCCCCCCGGTTCCGCCGTCAGTGTGTGCATTTTTGGATAGAAAACAATATTTTCTTTGCCCATACCTATCATGCATGTATACTTACTTGATACTAAAACGTATGGCCACCCAACTAACTACAATGCATGCTGGGAATTCAATATGGCCGATTGATAGGAATGGTGGCTTCTATCCCATCCAGAGACGCTTCGCTTATAGATTGACTTGAATATAATATGTGAAATATCCTATTCAAAATAATGGGTCATGTACAGTTTTATTTCCAGTAGTCAAGGCAGAATGGGCCTGGCTAAATGGTGGACATTGGGTCTGTGCCAATTTGTGCCAATTTGCCTGAGCTTATGGGTTGGCTGGGCGGGTTTACACCTTAGGGAAATAGCGGGAATGCATTTTCGTCCATTCTGTGGACTCATCAGCGGCCTGCTGCATTAATTGGTATTAGGTTGTGAGTTTACTTGGAACTCACGGGTGGGAAAATAAACCCTTTCTCTTAAATCATTATGATAATAGTTTGGTTTACAACCTCCGTTGGATGGGAGCTGTTCATCTAGGAGTGAAACAAGCATATCGAGTGTGTTGTCCGAGTTCTGATCAGTGGGATGATGTTTACCCCTCATTGATTTCTTCTTGGTGTTGTCGGCTTTCTTATGGGGTTTTGGGGAAAACGTCCCTCAATGTTGGGTTGCTTAAAATAAGATGCCAGTGTTTGAGAAGTGTTCTTCGGATATACAACAGTATTGTGACCGAGTACTTGAATGTGATATTTCACATGATTGTATTCAAGTCAATCTATAAGAGAAGCGTCTCTGGATGGGATACGGGGCCGCCACTCCTCTCACTTGGCCATATTGGATTCTCAGCATGCATGGGTGGCCATGAATTTTAGTCTCTATTAAGAACATGATAGGCCTGGGTTCCATCCAAAAATTAGCATAATATGGTTTAACTAAAAAAGGCAAATTATAACTGAACTGGCATCGTTGGCATCCTACGGATTTTGTTTTTGCCATATTAAAGTTAATAGAGATCACCGAATTTCATACCAATTACTTATAAGTTTCATTGAGGGGGGGGGGGGGTCGTGGTCCCGCTCCCTGATACCCATAGGGTTAACGTTCAAAGGGGTATGGACATTCAGGGGGGGGGGGGGGGGGGATAACCAATAATAAGTTACCACAATGAGAAAGGCTATCATATCAAAATATAAAAACTAGAGATGTATAGCTATCAAAAATAGCAACTAGAATTTGCCGCCTCGGATCAATTGGTGAATTTTGGGGTCCCATCCCATGGACTAATACTCTAAAGTGCAACATATGAAATGAAGACTAGTACGGTGCTGGACTTGGCGTGCAGTTCTTCGTTTCAGCCTACACGTCACAGTAACCAGCATATTTTGTGGCTGTTTGTACATTGACGGGTAGTTTCAGGGTGACCTAGTCTCTAAACGGAAGACTGAGTTTTTTATTGAATAGTACACTGGCTTTAAATAAAGAAGGCGGCCTTCCAAAAAAAAATGACTTAAATATCCTTCCTTGGAAGGGTTAATTGAAATTACATAAAAGAATCTTGTAATGAGAAACTGACACGGTACCGAGGAAGAAATATATAGGCCTTGTCAAAATGAGTCAAAACTTTGGGACCAATGGAATACAGGCCGAAATTGCTGCTATTTTTTTCCTGCAATTATGTGGTCACTTACTGTAATACGCATTCCTGAAATAGCACGTGATCGAAATTATAGGTCAGGTGACTGAAGACGACTTTACAATGTATTTCGAGCATGCAGTGGTTGAAGTCAGTTAATTGTGGTAAAGGATACAGGTTCGTATCTAATTTACCTCTGGCCACTCCCCGTAAAATATTGAAATATTTTTCTTTATAATCGTGTCTAAATAAAGTTGTACTTTTAAAGTTGAACAAAGAAACCGACGGGAGCGGAGATTGAGCCTGCGACCTGGTTTATATTTTAAGATCGTAAATTTACCAGTTTCACGGATTCACTTTGAGTATATCATATCACCCGTTATCCACGGAGCCCAGTCTCCTGTCTAACGTCTGATATATCTAAGCATGCAGATTTATGCGATCCCGCGCCTCATAGCTCAGCCAATCGGAGTCGACTTTACTAAATCGTGACGTCATTTCATTCCCAAATCAGGACTAAATGTTTGATTAGTCAACTCGAATACAGTGTTTTGTAATACAACAACGTCCGGGCATACATCTATACAACCCAGGCTTGGCGCGAATCGCGTAACATAATACAGAGCGCGTGACCACAGCCTTTGTTTGCTGTGTCTATTTTCTTTGTTGCATCAATGTCTATGACGCGACAACGGGTGAATGACCGAAGACCCGATATAGAAAGCGCCCGCTGATTAGTCAAAATCTAGAGGTCAAGAGGCGGTTGTCTTGCATAATTCAGCGAATCTGTTCAGATATCATAGACCATGGCTCTTCGCCATGGTCTATTACATAGACTACGATTCACTTGCGTTCCAACTAGAAACTTAAAATAGTTTTTTTTTCTAATGAAAAAAAAATGCTGAATAACTTTCCTAATATTTGATGAGATGGTGTAATATTTATAGTGTCCAAAATTTGGGAAGATTTTTTTTTTAGCGGATGCCAGCAATAGCCTATGTTTGGCGGATGCCAGCAATAGCCTATGTTTGTTTGTCATTTTTTTTCTTCATACCGATCCGGAAAACTACACATAACAAGATGGTTCTCGAACCATCCCGCCTGCTTCCGCGATTATCTGTAAAGAGTGACCTTTGACCTTGGTGTGTGACCTTTGACATCATTATCATTTGAAGGTTGCCATGTTGCATCTATGACCCAAGTTTGGTTCCAATTGGACTTCAACTTTTGAAATGAGACCAATTTTACATGTTCAGCCTATTTTACAGCCTGATTTCAGATGACCTTTGACCTTGGTATGTGACCTTTGACATCAGTATTATGAAGGGTGCCATGTTGCATCTATGACCTGAGTTTGGTTCCAATGGGACTTCAACTTTTGAAATGAGACCAATTTTACGAAACTTTAACCAAAATACCACAGACATACATAACTATACATACATACTACATAGTACATACGGACAGACACAGTGAGTGCATAGTCTCTTTCCTGAACAAAGTTCAGGCGAGACAAAAATTAATAAGGGAATAAATGTGTGTTCGGGAGGTATTATAACACTCTGTTTAAGACCGGTGGGAGTCTGGATGGGTGATAATCACCCGAGGCGAAGCCGAGGGTAATTATCACCCATCCAGACTCCCACCGGTCTTAAACAGAGTGTTTAATTATAATACCTACCGAACACATATTTATTCCCATCATAAATACCTTTTCGGTCAAAACCCCCCAAATCTTTTCGGTCCAAAAATCAAAACAAGTTAAAAAAAATAACAGCGTTGCTGTTGAAACCCCTCAGCCAGAGTCAGGTTATCATCCGGGAACCATTAACATTTAACTCACCACGGTGACCTTGACCTTTGACCTTTTGACCCCAAAACCAATCCCAACTTGCCTACTCCCAAGGGCAACACCCTACCAAAGTTAGACATAAAAATCTTATTTCTAACTCAAGTTATCATCCGGAAACCATTTACCTTGAATTCACCATGTTGACCTTGACCTTTGACCTTGTGACCCCAAAACCAATCCCAACTTGCCTACTCCCAAGAGTAACCCTCTACAAAAGTTAGACCCCAAAATCTCATTTCTAACTCAATTATCATCCTGTAACCATTTATCTTTAACTCACCATGGTGACCTTGACCTTTGACCTTTTGACCCCAAAACCAATCCCAACTTGCCTAACACCAAGGGCAACCCTCTACCAAAGTTAGACACCAAAATCTCATTTCTAACTCAAGTTATCATCAGGAAACCATTTACCTTTAACTCACCACGGTGACCTTGACCTTTGACCTTTTGACCTCAAAACCAATCCCAACTTGCCTACTCCCAAGGGTAACCCTCTACCAAAGTTAGACACCAAAATCTCATTTCTAACTCAAGTTATCATCCGGAAACCATTTACCTTTAACTCACCATGGTGACCTTGACCTTTGACCTTTTGACCCCAAAACCAATCCCAACTTGCCTACTCCCAAGGGCAACCCTCTACCAAAGTTAGACACCAAAATATCATTTCTAACTCAAGTTATCATCCGGAAACCATTTACCTTTAACTCACCACGGTGACCTTGACCTTTGACCTTTTGACCTCAAAACCAATCCCAACTTGCCTACTCCCAAGGGCAACCCCCTACCGAAGTTACAACCCCAAACGACATTTTAAACTCAAGTTATCATCCGGAAACCAAGCTACCCGGACGGACGGACGGACGGACGGACCTACATCCGGACGGACGGACGCCCTAGGCGATGACAATACCCCTCGAGCCTCTCGGCTGAGGGGTAACTAGACGTTGCCAACCATTTTGTTCAACAATTTTACTTCATGTTTTACGAAACACCCCTCTGACTATAATATGGAATGACCCCCCACAACTCGTTACCTTATAAGGACATTGGCGTGCGCGTCGCGCGTACTGCGCGATGTCGCGCAAAACGCAGCTGGGCTGGTGTAGTGTGAATTTCGGACCATGAAATACTGATTTACTGGTAGAATTGCGCATGCATGCGTGAGGAATGTGAACGTTCAACCAATGAAACGTTAAAAGGCACCGGATTTCATGGAGTCCAAATTTCATGCGACACTGGAAAAGTGTTTAAGACCAACCAACCATGTCTTTATCATCCGTTTAAGACCGGCCACGTGACGGGCTCTCGACCAATAGGAATGCGTAAATTGTCTTAGGTATTTATAAATAACTTATAAATGAAAACAGGAAGAAATGGAATTGTTATCAAAATTATCGACATCAAAGACAGTGATCAGTCCAAGTTTCCTCAAGCAGTTGTTTGATTTATTTACAGGTATCTCATCAAGGGTAAAATGAAAGAGTCGTAATTTCAAGACGGAAAGAACTGTAACATTAAAAATACTTTTTTTCCTAATTTTTTTTTTTTTTAGAAAGTCGCTTATTCGGTTGCGTTCGTCATAACATTAATGCATTGGACTTATCCATTAATTTAAACAATGTAGTTCATGTCAAAAAATGAAACATATGTACAGATTGCACCTTTTTTCAAAAAATCTAAATTAAAAACAAGTCTTAGGTTTTTCAGTTCAGACATGCAAAGGCATTTGGGTAACGTGAATCCATGTACAACAAAAATCAGTAGAATCCCAACAGTGCAGCTTTTCACTGGGTCTAACCGAAGTTTCCAATACCGATGTTCCCCCAAAATCCTTAGGGTTGGGGGTTAGGGTTAGATGGTTAGCGTTAGGGTTGGGGTACATATGTATGCACCCGCTTTTATTTTCACACTATCTTTACGTCATGCACTATATAGGGTGAGTAAAAAAACCGAAACCCAAATGTTGGGACCATTGTTTTAGTGAAGTTCTGCATGTAGCACTTTCAAAATTTAGGATATGATAAGCCCAATTCAAAAGCTTTCTTTTAGTACAAGAATCATTCAAATCACTCATGTACTTTTAAAGTTACGGAGTTTGAAACACGACCACCGTTTTAAAGTTCTGTCCACGGATCACAAAAAAGGTGTGCGTTCTTTCAGCAAAACGAAAACAATTCACACACATCCTTATGTGATTTGTTTTCGTTTTGCTGAAAGAACACTGAACTTTTTGTGATCCGTGGACACAACCTTAAAACGGCGGTTGTGTTTAAAACTCTGTAACTTGAAAACACTTTGTACAGTGTTTTTCTATTAGTAATGGCATTCACGAGAAGACGAGGAAATCCGTGGATCTTAGGAAAAGTTGCACGCCTGGCGCGTACTGTTCGTGCCAGAGTCCATAAGAAGATGACATCGATAACAAAGAACGGAAAACCACGGCCCATCAAACACTACATGACTGTTCCCCAAAGGCAGAACCCCTGCACTTGGGACGAAGTAGTCATGACATATGTCACTTCTAAAGTTGGTCCCTAATACCAAAAAAAATAAATGATTATTCATAAATTGGTTTTATAAAAGAGTGTTTGATTTGAAAGATTATGTTCATTATTCCTGTTAATGTACTTTTAAGGCGACATTTTTCGTCATATGTTATACCTGAAACACCGGACATTAAGGAGACACAACTCATGTTAAGAAGGCAAAGTTTTACCATCGCAAAAGGCTAGATCAATTGCTCATAGGCTAGATCGATTGCTCATGGTCCAAAATGTAAATTACCAGAATTCGCGGGGGTAGGATAAAGGAAATTGGGGTTAGGGGTAATTAAACTTGGAACATTTTTGTGCACAACCCTATGGGAATGTCCCCTGAGGTACCATTCCCCGTAATTATTATAAGTATCAGGCCCAATTGAAAAAGATTGCATAATTAGTGTTTCACTTTACAGGTTATGGACGCCATTGGCAAAACATGTGTTTTGCCGATTTGGGAACAATACAATAAATTTGAAGCAGCTTTTTAAAAAACACTAACCTGTCCAAAGTTCAGCTCAGTAGGTATCCTTTGTTTTAGATAACTGGACAAATGCATTTTTTTAAAATTTGTTTACGCAAACCATTGGTTTCCATTGAAAGAGCGGTGGTTGGTCCTTACCATTGTGAGGAAAAGATGGCAATTCCTCTTCTCGAAGATGACAGGATACCAGGCGAAATGATTTCACTAGTGGGGCAGATAGGGGAAATATTTGGGGGACTTGTGCCTTTGATGATACAACCATGGCATTTGGCACGCAGTCAGAGTATGTCTTAAGAAAGATATTTGGCTGTAGGGCAATCGCAGATTTGTCCTTTGAAAAAAATATCGGTAGAATAACAAGCAATGGCAACCATTTTGAAAATTGTGAAAATTGCTTGTTATTCTACCTACAGCTTTTTCTGAAAGGACAAATCTGAGATGGCCCTATGGGCTCCGTGCGTGAACAACGACGTCCCATAGGCCGGACATGTAGCTGGTTGACGCGCACCGTTCCTTGTGAGTGCCGCACGTACACAAGGGGATTTGTACTACATGCAGTGGTACAGCCGCGCGTCGCGGCAATATCACAGTCAGGCAAGATGGCGTCGGTCGGTCACCCCCAACTGTACTTTCTTTGCCGGTGAGGGGGTATTTGTGAACGGAGCGGATAGCCAAATATCTTTCTTAAGACAGACTGTGTGCCAAATGCCATGCTTGTATCCTCAAAGACACAATCCCATCACCTATCTGCCGTACTACACAGGATGCTTTATCCTATGACGTACTTGCAACCAAGTAGAATATTCCATGATATTTTGACAACTTTATTTTTTACGGTCTGCAATTGGCGTCCATTACCTTTTAAGCAGGAATTGCTACCCTTTAATGCCTGCACTTTTTGCACATTCAACTAAAATAATACCTGAGAGTAAAATAAAATTCAATGAAATATTTATAATATTCCTGAAAGAATAAACAAAATTAAAATTGAAATAGATATATATATATATATGTAAGTGGTTCAATACATACATGATGTAAACTCAACATCCAATGTAACAAAGGATTTCAGTAATAAAGTGACCAATGAGAAAAACATAAACATTTTGTGACCTTTTTACATTTCATTACAAAATAATTAGCTGTGCATGAGCAATACCTTTACGCGCTTAATGTGCACGATGTCCAGTTTCCATCACAGATTCACTTTCAAAAGACGCAAGAAAAAAAGGGGGAACTATAGCAAAAATGCTGCTGGGTTTCATAGATTTCGCATTTGAAATCGTCATTGTTACAGAAAATAATTGAGATTCTAACATTACTCCACTCTTTTTGACATGTTCCATTTGTTAACCCTCCTATGCAAATATACATTCTGTGCCAAGTTGTCCTTTCAGTCAAGCGACTGTTTTCAACAGTTAAGAGTTCCCAGCCTACATAAAGCAGGCTTTACTGGCTGTGACTGTTTATGTAACTTGAAACAGCTATGCTTTGACTGTAGGTGATTGATAAGCCAGCTGTGCTTACCACTTGTCTGCTTTTGTCTGCTGACTGAATTTGACTAGTCACAGTGCTTGCCAGAAATATGATCGGACTGTTGGTGACTAGCCTGTGTAAAAGGCACGGCAGGGGAAGAGGATTGATTTTTGACCGTCTGTGATTTTTTGACTGTTCAGATTGTTCAGAAAGCAGAAGGGTTAATACAAAAATGTTGATAATTATATCCCTAAAATACAAAGAAACAATTTCAAAAATATTATTTGGAAAAATACTTCTTTTCAGTGTAAATGGCTTTAAATTACAATACAATACAATAATTACTGTTAGCTTTATATTAATATATACCTACTTTGTGCTATTTTGCGTAATCTTTAGAACGTTTGCTAATACTTTTGAATGGCTGTGCTAGACCTCATAAGGCAGTGCCGAATGATTTGGGCACTTCCGAGATGCGGTCAATGCAGGCAAGTGTCTCAGCCAGGAGCTTTAAGGCTTCTACTCCGGTCGCCATTTGCCTAGAAGAAAAGAGAGAGAGAAAAAAAAACCCAAAAAGACTAAAATAAGAGACAAGCATAAAGCCAGAATTTCTGAGTCAAAATGCTACTCTACGTAAATCTTATTCCTACCTCCCTTATAATATCAGAGCATTGCAGGATTTCATTGAGGTCCATCAATTTTAACTCATAGGATTTCACTTCAGCTCCTCCCTTGAGATATTGGAACTTGTGTCCATGGGAAAGCCACTTTACAATAATTACTCATCTAAGAGTGCATGTCTCTCATTACAAAAATTCTAAGAGTACATGTCACCCTTTTGGCATGGTGAATTCATGGCAACACGCCCATTTAAAACAAAGTTGGTTTCCCTAAAAAGCATGAATACCAGTATCGGATCTAGAGGGGGTTGGGGGGGGGGGGGTTCGCAACCACCTCCCCCTTCAGTCGCTTACTAATGTTATGAAACTAGTGAGTCAGGGCCAAAAATACTACGTGGAATTTAAAGTTCCTAAATTGGATGGAATACGGGAGTTTTTTCTCCAAAACATTACAAAGACGGAATTCGAGCTATAGCCAGCAATAGCATCCCTGCCTATTATTGCCTAGCATCTATTACCTTAGGCCTCAGGTGTATTTATAAAGCGCATGTATTCACCAGTATTGGTGCTCAAGGCGCTACATCATTATTACCCTGCTCAATGGGCCAATGACACATTCCAAAGACAATCTCAGCTCCCTGGGGAGTATACAGCTCGATGCTGCCATTTCAGACCAATGCAGCAAATATCGACCACAATAACCATCCTTGCCCTCACAAGTACCCATTTACTCCTGGGTGGAGAGAAGCAATGACTGATAAAGTGCTTGCCCAAGGGCATACGCACCGTAACCCCACGCTGGAATCGAACCCACAACCTGCAGAATTACCCGCAGACCACGAATTCAATGCTCCAGACCACAAGGCCCAGCATTCCACTTGTGACTGATCTGGACTAGCGATGGACTACACAACAGTTTTGTTAATTAGCAAGGTGGCATTACACAAGCCCAATCAAAGTGTAACCCACATGCATCTCACAACTTACTTGATGGACGCATCTGCTTCTTTGGCGGCTGTGGCTAGCTTGACAGAAGCTGCATGGGATTTCTCCTTCAGCTCTTGCAGTTCCGTCCCTTCTTCCAGTTTCTTGTTCTTCGTGGACAGGGCAGTGATCTCGCCCTACGCCACAAGTAACAACCAAAAGAAGTTTGACAAAGTAAACTAATATAACATGGTTTGAGGGTGGGTAGTCAATTTTTAGCTCGCCTCGGTACTGGAAGTTGACAAACTAGTTCACTCAGCTTCATCTTGAGGGTCTATAGACTAATTCAACGACAGCCATTTTTTTTGTGGTGGCACTAGGCTCGCGCGAGTTGCGTAAGGGACGCACTCCCTGCTCCTTCGACCAATAGGGTTACCAAAATGTGCGCGCCTTGTCTTTAAAGAACATGTGTGGCGTGCGCGCAGGCGTGGCACCACCATGAAAATGGCTTCTAATTTTGTTTGGCGAATAATATTACACTACAGAGTTTTTGCAAACCTATGTCAGGATGTGTGTCCAATCACATGCTGCGTACCTTAGAACGTAGGCTCCTACTACACCTATGTAACCTGTCACCATAAAATGAGAATAAAGACGGAAACTGCTAGTTCGCAGTAAGGTAGGGTCAACATTTTTGTAAAGTCACAATTTTAAGGGATGGTCGATATTTTTTGTTTTCAGGTGAACCTCAATCTGTAAGTCCCGTTCTACCTTTGCCCATATTTTTTGCTCTGTCAAATTTGTTTAAAACCTACTTTCAGTTAATTACTTGACAGTTCATTATAACAGCAGAATTTTTAAATGCCATGGCATTTTCTAAAGAAAGTTACTTTTTGAAGTTCAATCTGGTTGGCGGCCTTTATTTCGGTGACAGAACTTAAATGTAGATACCTTTATAAAGCTCTTGTTTTGCAGAATCAAGGAATAAAAGCAAGTCAATTCTTACAAAGTCTGACTTTATGCTCATGTTATGGTGACGGGTTACATAGATCGCCTTGATGCATGTTGTTCAGGATATTTGTGAACCAAGAAAGGGACAGGCTTACAACACAACTTTGATATGCCGTTGTAACAAAAGAAAGACCCTAATTACTATACCTTAAGTGTTTTGATTTCTCCTTTCAATTTGGTGATGGTGGTTTCTGCTGTGACAGCTCTCTCCTGCATCAGAAAAAAAAAAGACCACTGTCATAAAAATGATGAAAAAGTTACATTGATGCATTACAACATTAAAAAATCGCAGAGGATGTGAAATCATTTGCTTGGACCTCGAGCATTTACCGACTATTTGCCATGTTTGTCCAAACAATTGACCGCCAGTGCTAGCGTCCTTAAATTATGGTGATGGGTGTGAACGTAGCTGTATTCAAAAAGTTAATGTGACCGCTAGAATTGAAATTGTTGAAACTTTTGAATAATTATGGACAGGAATAGATGGCGCTACCTGTCTAGAAGGACACAATGCATGCAGGCCCCAGCGGCATTGCCAAGTGTGGGGGGGGGGGGGGGATTTGCCATAAAAAAAAATCATCGCCCCCCAGTCGACCCCCACTGGAAATTTGTTAGTCCTATAAGTGACAATGGTTAACAGGTTTAACAGATATTGCCCCCCCCCCCCCCACTGTAACATATTCCCCCCCCCCCCCCACATGGGGTGCTGTGGTCCAATGGTTACGGTGTTCGTGGTACATGGGTTCTAATCCTGACCGTGGGAACATGGTGCTTGTGCTCTTGAGCAAGGCACTTTACCATTATTGCTTCGTCCTTCGGATGGGACGTAAAGCCTTAGGTCCCGTGTGTTGTGTAATGCACGTTAAAGAACCCAGTAACACTTATCGCTAAGAGAAGGGGTTTGCCCCGATGTTTCTGGCAGTGTCTTCTTAATGCGCCGCAGCACCTTATAAACCATTATCAGGTGCTACATACATGTAATGGTTCTTATATTTCTCATGTACTTCATTTACCTGTCTCTAATAATAGACATACTTTCCAGCGCCTTGAGTACCTAATTGTTGTAGCTATAATTGCGCTATTTAAGACTTCGGTAACATCCTGGCCCCCCCCCCCCCCCAACTCGGCACCCCTATGATGAGAACCCTGGCTACGCCGCTGGCAAGCACAGATTCACCTGCACATGATGCAGAGTGCTCATGACCCGTATGGATACTGTGCATGGACAGCAGATTGTACATGAACATGTCCTGCATAACCACCGATGAGAGCAGAACGGAGGGAACACACTGAATGCGTGCGTATGGTGCAAAGTACGCACAATACAAAGAAGTTGACTGGAGCGGGGTTTGAACCTCTAACCTCCGGAATGCCATACAGGCACTTCACCAACTGAACCATCCAGCCCTAAGCTGGCAGTGCCCCAGTTTTGCCAATGTCTTTGTTCAAGGGAAGCTAGTCAGAAACCATACACCTGTACATATGCCATGTAGTCAGGGATCACGCTCAAAGTCACAACGCTAGCAACATACGTAATTGTGCAAACCTGGGATATAGCACTAGCGCCGCTTGAACAAAGACATTGACAAAGCCAGGAACCACCAATATAGGGTTGGAGAGCACAGTTAGTAGAGCTAGAGTTAGTGTTCCTGAGGCCGCAGGTTCAAATCCAGTCCCAAGCAATTTCAGTGATCAATTATAATTTTAAGCTTAATGTGCACAAACCGTCATCACCTTCATGTCCGTGCCTGGCAAACTGCAGCAATGCATCCCTCCCAATTCACTCTTTGTAACCAAATGCAGGGGTATTAATGCAGGGTTCGCCCTTAACTTTTTTCAGCCAGCTCAGTGGACTAGCGAAACCGACTCTTATCTAGTCTGCGGGCCTTTTCACTAGTCTTCAATATTTGCACCAGAATGTCATAAACAACAATGTTACTTTACAATAATTTTGACTTGCCAGGCGGACTACTTGGGGAATGGTTTTGACTAGTCTGCCGCTGCTTTTACCTGCATTTGGTGAGCGGACTACTGATAAGGTGGAACCCTGTGAATGCAGTGTTAATGGACTCACTGCACAAGTACCCCCTAAGGGAGAGTTGGTGGAGACCACTAGGAGGGACACTTGAATGTATTGCCATTGACGTCTGACACTCACACGAAGATGCTCTAGCTTGTGCACATTCAGGATAAAATCAGTCGTGTGTACTTGTGCCAAACGCGTGCGAACCAGTACGCGCATGTGGTGTGTCCTTCCCACTGGGACTTTCGAAAGTGGTCGCAAAACACCATCTACACTGTCCATGCACAGAGTCACATGCATGAGCACCGGGCACAGAGTTGCTGTACAGAGTTTAGACTTTGAGATAAGCTCACCGTGGTTCTGGTGAGGTTGGCCTCCACGTGATGCACCATCGTCTCCAAGGTCTTGGCATCTTCGGCCTCTCGGTCTCGCAACCTTCGCATCTCCACCTCCATCCCCTCAATCCTAGATCAAAAACCAGTGACAGGCAACACACCAGTCAAGTAATCTTGTAATTAAAAATAAAAATCAAGAACTACCCCCAAAATGGCCAGTGAAGCTGCACAATACGCAAGCTCAGAACTTCAGAAGATAATCTCAAATAAGGATATGCAATTTTTTTTTTCACTACAGAACTGGCACTCTACTATAATTTATTGCTGCTGAGTTAAAAAAAAATCCTTGTATTGATTGTTTTGAAAAAAAAAGGTGTGCCAGATTTTAAAGAATATTTTAGAAAATCAAAAGATATCTATGTCATTTACAAGTGCAAAATGACCATCTGACATCTGTTTCAGACCAGCATTCCGAATTGCACTGGATGAAATTCTATTTGGAGCAACTCAAGTTGACCCAAATATAGAATATGGTTCCAGACAGACAAATATTGGGCACTAAATTTTGATTTAATAGCTTTTGGAGTCATTCCCAATGAATGCAACAGTCAATCATTTTTTGCCTACATGTAGCTGCTTCTGTCCAAATTTCTAACTTTTCATTCACTCAATTCAAATCTTCACAACATCGGTTCACGCGACTCTGGAATACCAGTCTGAAACAGGTGTATAAAGCTCAACAAATTCAGTAAAACTGTTTGGATTTGCTTTACTTTTTGGCATCTTTTTCCACAGCCTTCTTGGCATCGGCTAGTTCTTGCCTCAGATGTCTGTTGCTGCTTCTTAGTCTGGTAACCTCAGTTGTCAATTCCTCCACGTTTTCTGGCATGGGCTGGCTAGTGTAGATCTCATTCTCTGTCTTGGCCTCGCCGTTCTCCTTTACCAGGATATCTGCGGACTTGTTTGACGTGGCTCCGGCTCCGAATACGTTGGCCCGGGGCCGGGGCCGGGGACTCTGATAGATGTTGTGGCCATTTTCCGCGGCCACTGCATGGACAATCTCGGGGACCGACTGTGTGGTTTCTTTCTTGGCTGGGGGTTCGGGGGCCTTCTTGGGCAGTTTCTTGCGGTGGCCATGCGACTGCGCCCGGGCACGCTCCCTGCCTGGCTTTGGTACCAACGAAGACTCGTCCACTTCGGTGCCGTTGTTCACTGAGAGGTTAGGTACTGATGTCAGAGAGGTGGACAGCGAGGAAGGCGACAGTAGATCCTGGGCATTGACGGTGGCATCCATGTAGTCAACCACCACCTGGCTCTTGGTGTTGCCTGCTTTGTTGGTGGCAGCAGCGGCTGTTTTGAGTTTCCTGGGACCGTGGCCATGGGTGTGGGCCCTTGCCCGTTCCCTGCCTTGCTTACGGTCGGCAGGCTTGGGCGGGCCGTTGCTCATGTTGGTCCCCGTGTTGCTGCGCGTGGTTCTCTCCGGTGCCTCCTGGTCGTCATCCTTAGTGGCGTAGTCATAAATAAAGTCCACAAACTCCGCTCCTCGGGCTGCCTTATCCACATCAGTAGCCGTGATAGGGGTGGCTTTGATTGGATTTGCAGGCGACCCTGGCGGAGCGTGGGATTGGAAGTCGACGTTGGCGTTGTGACCATGGGGAGGGATCGGAGGGACTGGGTTGATAGCGCTCTGAGCAGACCGATGTGCCTTGCCTCTGGAGCGGCTGGGCACACCACTGCTTGTTGCTCGTCTCTGTGATGCCTTTCCATCGGGGGAACTGCTCCCATTCGGGCCCTGACTTGCCTGGTTACCCATATCCAGGAACTGCTGTAAAAAGTAACAAAAAGAAACCAAAACCCATAATGAAAACTAAACATGACGAACACGGCCCTCTTAAGAAAGTGGCTAGCTTCACACACCATTTTGGACCTCTGTTGGGAGCCCCTGGGAAGCCCTTAAGTAAACAAAACTCCCCTCCCTGCTGGACAGTCCCAGCGAGATAATGACTTGTGGTTAAATGATACCACCTGTTGGCCACACTGCTTTCTGGAACAATACTTTCTGGTGATTGTGGTTTATGCTATAGCATAGCAGTAAAAGATCATTCTCGGCCATTTATTCACTGATTTTCACAGTTCACCATATAAAACAAGTCAACATTTCAGGTACATCATCATGATAATACTTCTGGATTGAATTTAGCAACGAAATAACATGCTTGAAATCTCTCAGGCAGAGTGACCTTAGCTCCTTTATGGAACCAATTATAGGATAAGTGCGGTTAAGAGTCTTAATCCCCCAGGGCAAACTCTCCAAAATGGTGTGTCCCAACCCGAGTGGCCCATATGGTTGGTCGGGTTGGTCTTAAGAGGAGTGTTCACCTCATGAGTTACAGCAAAGACACACTCGTGCCTCAAATAGGACCCTCTTCTGGTCACTCACAAGTCCCTTGGGATGCATAGACATGCACTAGTGACCTCACTGCTAGTCTATTTGTATTTAATAGGGACCCTTTTTCAGTGCAAGCAACACATGCTAACAAAAAACAAGCATGATGATACTTCACTGAGTGCAATTTTCACTTTTATGGCACAAATGAATAACATACGGTAACAGGGCTTGCAAACATACTGAATCCATGCATGATTATGGCACTTAACGAAGCGCACAAACTTTCCATGCGTGGGACACACTTTTTATGAATTCTTGTTTGCACATGTATTGCGCTAAGATTGCTATTTAGGTTTAATCCCAATGTGACAAAAACCTGTATGGTTTTTGCATGGGTACCAGGTGTTTGATGAAAACAGTGAATTCAAAGAGTAATATGATTTCTTTTTTTTTCACCACTGAGGGTGTGTTTGTGCAGTGAAGTAACCAGAACCAATTAGCCAGGGGGCTATGATAGTGGCCAGCTGCTTTCGGTCTTTGTTCCTTAAACTTCGGTGGATGTTTTTTGAGGTCACCATAACATCCATAGTTTGCTTTCTTTGTTTTTTTATTTGCCCGAACTCTGTCTAGTCGACGATGGTTGACTACGCTAGTCAACTATTTGGAACCAACGTACTGGGGCTGGTTGCATCGCTAGTAACCAATAACCGCACGCATTCATAATGTATAGCAGGGAGCCAGGATCCATAAGTTTTGCGATGACATTTTGACTGAGCGTTTGATGAGAGATGTTCGCACGTTGCTATTAGTGCGCAGGCGTAAGGTACGTCACAAATCAACCACTAGTCAACTAATGGTCCTTGCCCGAACTTGGCCCTGAAGTTATATGGTTGCTAGAGAACCATGCTTACCTGCAAACCTAGTCAAGAGTGATACCCAAAGGTGTGAAGAAGTGTGTAAACTGTCTTGCTGAAGGACACCTGCACTGTGTCCCATACCAGAGTGCAAAAGAAGCACTTGTTAATGAATAAAACCTGAGTGACAGAAACACTTGAATAAAATATTCCACTGACCTGTGGGTCTGTTTGACCGGAGTGATCAACGTCTATTCCAATAAAGTTTTCTCCTGGTTGACTGGCAGACAATCATTCAAGATATCTGCTAAATTCCTATGGGGAGCACTTTATGATGTTCCTCTCAACAAACAACACTGCCCTCACCGACACCGGCACACTCCTCCTAATAATCACCCAATCACAGTAAAACGTACAGCAAAGGGACACAAACATTACACAGCAAACGATGCCAACAATGTAGCTGCTAGACCAGGCCAGTACGCAGTGTCCATGCTATAAACTTCCCTTTAAGGTGCAGGCCATATTCACCAAGGATTGAAATGTTCTGGACTCCCTGAAGAATAACTATATTAACTCGTTGCCGATCGAGCGAAGGAGTATATCCTACAGCAGTCCCTTCTATACATGAGTCAGCCAGTCGCACGCCGGTGACACAGAGCCCCCTGACGAAGAGTTGAGGTCGCCGAAACTGACCAAGAGACAAGCAGACAGACAGGGACTTGGGAGGGAACACAGCAGGTTTAGATTGACACCAAGCACCACGGCCACAGTCGCGTCATTAGCTCACTGCCTGACTCATTTCCTCCACTTACAACCCTTCTTCTACAAACTTTCTTGACTTACAAAGTTTCACTCTATTGAAATCCTGGAGGCCAGGCATAACACCCAATTATCTTTCTAAGGGTTTAATTCACCAAAAGACAAAATGGCAAGTTGTGTTGTAATTGGACAACAATCCCCCGGATTGATTGCGTTTGCGAGAAGAAAAGGCGGTGCTCGCTCTGAGTGAAAGCCTAGCTGAGATACTGATGACGTCAACAGGAAGTTTCCTGTACCAGTGTATATCACACTCCACATTTCTGTACATGTATATATTGTGCTGTGTTGCTAGTAAAATTCACTAGTCAGGTAGTTGTGTGATAAAAAGTCACAACTAGCGTTGTTATTAGGAAATATCAACAATCAATGAAGCGCTACATCGATACAGCTGGGTCTGTCTATGCTAAGAAAGCATTTTGGACAGTGTTGCACTCATCCACTTTCTTGACGGTGAAGTTTTATTCTAGGTTTTACAGAGTATTTTTGATTGTTGAAATGCCCATTGAAATGATCATTTCATAAATTCCAAAGGAAACAACATTTGCTTTGTTTTTCCAACAAACCTTCATCGTCAATGTCCCATCCAACTGGTCCCAAGAACTAGTTGCTGTGCAATGACTACATGTAGTAAAGGCACAACAATTAGTTGTAGCATTACAACTAGTCAAGGTACCAATGCTATTAAAAAAAAAAAATTTGAAAAATAGTTACCTGTAATGACTATAGTCGACTAGTCGCACTTGTCATACAAAGCTATTTCTGTAGTCTGTAAAACACAAGTTTGTGTTTATGAAAAGACATTTGGCAATGTGCTTCCAAAACTACGTTCACCTACACATGTTCCGCAACTTTGTTTTCTTTCATGCCTTTATTTCTCACTTTCACTACCCTCAACAAAAGCAGCTCCCATTTATGGACATGTTAAGCTCAGAAGACCAAATAAGCTCTCGTATGATTTTGTGATTGGCAAAATAGACTTTTTTCCTTTTCACTTAATCAAATGTGCCTGTCAAAAAAGGAATGTCAGTTCAAGGATTATTAAAGGTTATGCATGCAAGCACCAATATGGTGGACAGGACGAGGTTGTAAGTACTACAGGATGGGTGGCATGGGTGGTTATTGCATAAAGAGCTCGCCTCTCACCACTGTGGCCCAGGTTCGATTCCTGGCTTGGACCATACGCGAGTAGATTCGTTCGTTGATTCTCTCCTGAGCCACGTGGGTTGTTCTCTGAGCTCTTCGGTTTTCCTTTCTCCACAAATATCAATTTTTTTGGTCTCTGGCTGTGCTCTGTGGTCAGACATATGGGTCGCATGGTGGCTGCCTACATGTAAGGCACATTTACCATGTTTACATGCCTTCAGTTCAACCATGCTGTAGCCGCGTCCTTCACAAGTTAGGTTTTCAGCTTCGAGTAAGGATGATTACTCCCCCCCCCCTCCCAATTTTTTAAAATTATTTTTACAATGTATTATTATTACAGGAATGCTTAACAAAATTGGGTTTTCTTTTTCCAATTCTGTGGGGATCAGTGTGCCCAAGCAGTTAGGGTTCGTGACTCATGATCAGAGGGTCAGGGGTTCAAATCCAGCCGCTGGCCATACGTTGTGTCCTTGGGCAAGCATCTTCATCCCCACTTGCCTCTCTCGTACCAGGAGTATATGGGTACCGGCATTAGCTGGGGAGTAACCTGTCATGGACTGGCATCCCATCCAGGGGGAATAGAAATATTCTCAGTCGTCTCATGCCACTGAAACCGGAGATAAACGCCGGCCTGATGGGCCATGTTGGCTTGGGACAGACTTGTTATACTTTTTTTTCGAATTCTGTCTAATCGTTTTGTTTTGCTACCTGTATCAAATTTGAATCCTCCCTGAGACACCTTATGGATTGTGTTTTCAATAGTCTCCACATGATCACTCAACTTTCTAAAAATGTGTTTGAATCCTTTCAGAGATAGTTAAACGATGGACTTTTAAAATTAACATCCGATTTGCAGGTTGGTTGGAACCTGGTTTGAATCCCTCCTGGGACACTTTGTGAAATAGGTTTTCATGAGCTCTCACCAGATTATTTGTCATTATTGGACATGGAAGTTTACAAAGAGTGAAAACAGAGCAAGATATTGATAAATTACTATGAAAGTAAAACGAGCGGCAGTTCGGTAGACTGTTTTCATAATGAAACTTACATGTATGACAGTGTTGTAGTCAAGACCTTACAAGTCCTCACAAGCCCATCAGAAATCATCAAATCCCAAGTCAAGCCAACAACTTATTCAAATTAACTAAGACAGAGCATCCCATTGTTGTTGTTCATCTACCATTACTTGAGACAGCTCTCGTGAAAGGATTCAAAGGAATTGTGATTTTTCTCCCGACAAGACTTGTGATGGACTTGACTATAACAGTGCTAAATGACACGAAGCATTACTGCCTCACCTAGGTGCAATTTTTTTTCACCCGGCTCAAAAAACGCTCAAACAGACAACCATGCACAGACAACCAAGAGGCATCCTCCAATCCCAAGAAAACATCAAATTATCTCTTTAATTTCAAAAGCTAAAATCCATATTATGCATAAAGAAACATTCAAAAACCTAAAGAGCATTGTCTCTGTCAGTCCTTTGCCAAAGAAAACAAACAGAAACATCTTAATGAAATTTGGACAGAAATACAGAAAACTTTCAATTCCATGGAGAGGAATGTTCAAAAATAGACCGCTCCGATATAGCCATTTAATCATCCAAGCTGACTTCCGAATTTCAAAGTTCATGTCCTAAGTGACTCGAGTTGGACATGGCACCAACCAGTACGGTCTTAATGCGGCTTCCCGTTGCTCATTAACATTTCATCGGAAAGTTGCTGGCATTTCGCCCGAAACCCCACCGAAACAAAATCATGCATTACACATGTACAATTCAAACGGCAGAAGTGAGGGTATGTTTGATTCACACGTGACTAAAAACCTATACAATTCAGGTTCTGTTAACAGTTTGAAGTGTTGATGTGTAATGTATGTTTGCTGGTATTATAACTTGATGGTATAAGACTTTACAAACTGAAGTAAAGCACTCCAGGTATACAACATGTTTTCAGGCAAAATACTGCAAAAATGCTGGTACTGAGGTGTTATGTGCACTTTGCATAGGGAAGTAGTCAACCCAAATTGAGAGAATACTGCTTTCCTAGACTTGAAACCAAGCTAGTAATTGGCCGGGTTTAGTCTGCCTGCGCCGCCGCGTATCTTACCGAATCATCGGCACTGGCATTGACACTGTACTATATAATACACACAGTACCATCCAGGGGTTACGTATAGCGTGCGGTATAATAACATACGGGTAGGTTCAGTGCAACCTCGGCCCCAATATGCGTGTGCTTTGATTCCAATTCGGATTGCGGAATGTTGAACGGCAGGTATAGTTTTAACATAATGGTGCAGCGCTGGTTCATATCGGTGGCACCAGCGGACAAACACAGCTGTCTAACGACTTGACTTCAAGTCGACTGCTTTCCCCAAATTAACCATGTTGTACATGTACATGTGTTTTGTGTTGTCACATTTGCTCCATTATAAAAGTCATAAAAAAGATGGCAATATTTGGAAAAATACATGTATCTCAAGTGGTGGTGTGCATTAACAGACACTCTTATCAAAACTGAAGACGACCAAAAAAACGCAACCTGGTAAATTCCCTCTATTGACCTATCGCCGTTTGCGAGTTAGCCACGCCCCTTAGACAACCCTGTGGAATTTTGAACGTTAAGTTTGTTTGTCTTAGATTTTGCGCGTTCCGCGTCCATTTGTATATCATGTCATTGGACAATACTTCATAAGCTGCGTTGGCGCGATTCTACCGCAATATGCCAATTGTCAGCAACTCTAGTCCTTAACAATGTGAATATTGGCGGTGTCTGAAGGGCTTTTTAGCTTTAGGGTGTATACTTCAACTTTCATGAGCGTCATATGTCTTGCTTTAAAATGCACATCAACAAGAAATCTGTTTTTGGTTTTTCATGTAACCTGGTTTCCCCACAATTGGCATTCAAAACCACTCTTTTTCATTGGCTGAGGAGTTACTAAGTAATTTGTGAAGTTGGTTACGGGTACCGGATCCCATAATCTGGAACCAGTTACTGATATCAGCAGTCAGGTTCTCAGGTGCCTGGGTCAGATACACAGCCCTAATTCTCAAGTCGAGTTAAATTTAATCAATCCATGTGTCAGACAGTGTTGTAGTCGAGACCGGATAGTCCGAGACCGAGACCAAGACCGAGACCTGAAGATTCGAGACCGAGACCGAGACCGAGACCAGCCCCTTCAAGGCGGACCGAGACCGAGACCAATATGGTCCGAGACCGAGACCGAGACCGAGACCGCTGATAATAAATAACAATAGTCGAAATAAAAAAAACAAGACACGTTATTATAGTTGAAAAATGTAACCTTTCTATTCACAAAGAATAGACCAATATTTTGACCAGTGGCAATGTTGACAAATTGATACATGACACCTTACTTGAGCAAAAAGTAGTTACACTTAAGAAATATGGGCTTTGACATGTTGTCTGCACCCAATCGCGACAAAAGTAAAAAGTTAAAGGTAGATGTTTCATCTGTTATAGGAACTCGGATCCTAAACTCCACAGTCACCCCTTGGTTTCAGCTATGACTTCTAACGGATATTTAAAGATGTAATTTTAAGTTTACATTGCCCTTTTTTTCCTAAAATAAATTTAGGACTTAACTTCTAACAAGACTTGTATACTTGATTTTAAAAAATGGGAGCTAGAAAATGTTGAATTAATTTTTAAATTTTTGTCATAGAATGTGGACTTGTACATGTAGACCCACAGGTTGCGAGGTGGTAGCCAGAATGTGCCAGATATGGATCTTTAATTTTTTTCTGAACGGGATTTTTAATTTTTGAGGAATAATGGGGTACTTTAAAATGAGCAGCCAGAAAATGGGGTCTCATCATACACTCTCATGGCAACAGTGAGTGGTAACTGGTAAGAGTGTGTGAGTTCAAAGCTGGAAAATCAGGTAGAAAAAATTACTTTTTCTTCAAAATACTGTCCCAAATTAAAGAACATTGTGTGGGGTCGAAAATATAACTAATTTGAAGCACCTCATTTATTATCAGAAAACAAAATGCAAGTGATTACGCCCACAGGGGTGGGCTAAACTACACAATCCCCGAAAATGGTTGACCCTTATTGCATAAATTGTTACAAGTTTATACTTTGCTTTATGTGGCCGACTCAACAGATAAATGCCGAACTTGTTCCAAATCGTTCAGTGACTGGTACTGCTGCAGTTTTACATGTATTGTACTTTGGGGACTTTCCAACGTGCAGTCGAGTCCAAACCGACCGCGATATATATAACAAGCTTGATCTACGGGCTAGCAAATGTTTAAATAACAACGGTACTGAACGAAGTGAACACAAAGTAATCGATCAAGCTGTAAAAGCTACATATTGCCGATCTCGACCCGAGACCAGCCAAAATATCGAGACCAAAGGGGACCGAGACCGAGACCAAGACCGAGACCACAGCTTCCGAGACCGAGACCGAGACCGAGACCAGCAAAAAGTGGTCTCGAGACCGGTCTCGAGACCGAGACCGGTCTCGAGACCTACAACACTGGTGTCAGATTCCCAAAGAATGTGCAAATTACACACGGTCAAGTGTTATTTGCTTGTTTGTGAAGAGTTGGTATGGTATCACGAACAACTGTGGTGAGCATTTGGAACGTTGCAGCTCAAACAAAAGACATACATTGTACAGAATCTGTAAAAAAATCACCACACTGTGTGACAGCAGGGATGCGTTCCAGTCACACAAATGTGTTCGCGTTCTAGGCCCTGCAAATGCGTTGGCGCATTTGCAGGGCCTAGAACACGAACACATTTGTGTGACTGGAATGTTTATGTCACAGGAAAACTGTTGTCAAAATGGAAGCACCCTGTACATGTATGTCGATCAAACAAGTGTCACTGTTTGGATATGGCAGCTTGTAAAAATCCACAAAATATTAGTTGTGATTGTAAGTAAAATGTTGCCAGTAATATATAAAGTTACTGGGACCACAAAAAATGGATAATATCAGCCTCTACATGATTAACACCTTCACTGTGCGAGTGTTGGCAATATTGGAAAACAACAAACAACTCAGGAAGACCGTTCGCCTTTGTTGCTAATGTTCCCAAATGGTGGTGGTAAACAGTCCCACGTGCTCCAATGTTGACAACGTTGGCAAACGTTAGCATTTTTGGCATTTGTGGAACGCACCCCAGATGCAAGTTTAATACCTCCAAATTTGGTGTGGTCCACTTCTCTGGAGTGTTCAATTTTGTCTTTTACTAGATGTACTACGCTATAAATGTCTACTTGTATGAGAGACAGATTTATCTTTACTTACAATTCCTTCCCCATTGTCATCTTCATCATTGAAAATATCAAGCAGTTCCTTAGCTGGCTCCTTGAGATTTCTGTCTTCATGCTTCAAGAATACATGCAGCATGCAAAAACAAAACAAGAATGGGAATTTATAGTTAGAATACATGTCTACCAACAAAAGGCAGTAATTATAAAGGTGCGCTACAATGTACTTTCTTGGAAGAAAGTTGAAGCTCAAATTTACTTGAATGTTCATAATGTAAGAAGAGCCTGTAATGTGTATCCTATTTTGCATCTCAGAGGGGTGATTGATAAGTTCATGGCCAAAGGTTTTGAAGTTTTAACTGATACAGTGTGCAGTTCAACTTGTTGAATGGTTTACACAGAAAGGTTGAAGTTGTTACCTTTTCTTGTTTTTCTGTTACAGATAATTAAACATTGACAGTCACCGGTTCCTGAGATCCTGAATCAAAAAATTGAGGCAGGGGAAGCTGACAAGGGGGTGCTCTTCATCTTCGGGAAGAGGTAGTAGTCAGAGGGTGCCAAATCAGGAGAATAGGGTGGGTGTTCGACCAGTTGGAATCCACATTGCTGGATGGCAGCCATGGCCACTGTGGACGTGTGGACTGAGGCATTGTCCTGGTGGAAGAACACCCCCTTGTCAACTTCACCCGCCACATTTGTCGATTCAGGATCTCAGGAACCGGTGACAGTCAAAGTTTAAAGATATAGTCCATCATTTGTAATTTGTGCATTTTGTTCGGTTGAAGCAACAACAGTGTTCAAAATCTAATGAAGGATACTGAACAACTAACCTAATGAAGTTTCAGCTCAGCTTCAGCTGTATATTCCGAGAAAAACAAAAGTTGCTGAATCATGTTTTGAATTGTTTTGAATTGCAGCTATACGCGATGTCGATCGCGCACTGATCCGACGAATTATAGCAACCGCGCGCGCCTGTGCGTCGTGCCAATGCTTGCGCGCGCTGTGCCGACTAACAAAACGAACTACTAATTTAAATTTCCCTACGGTGCGTCTTAAGACGCACCGTTGGAAAGGCCTTCTATCGTTGATTACTTCAAAATGATAGCTTGACAGAAAGATTAATTTCACAGGGAGTTTAGTCCACTTACTATCTTTCAACCAAGTATGTTTTTCAACAATAATACGCCGGTTACTTTTTGAATGGCTGCAAATGATGGACTATAGCTTTAATTATCTGTAACAGAAAAACTAGAACAGACAATGACTTCAAGATTTCTGAAAGTTACTCAATTTTGCAAATGTTGTATATTGCCTTTAACTCAAAGGAGGATCAGGTGAGCAGAGGTACCTGTTTTTATAATTCGGGATTCATTTAAACGTTTTGAAAAATTCTGAAAACTGATTTTACCTCTCTCTCTTTTTTTTTTTGCATTTAAATGTGTAAATGTCACATCCGAAAGACAAATTTACGGCAGACATCTCAATGGCTGAACTGCTTGCATTTGTATGAAACAAAGGCCTTTTTAGGGTATGTGTATGAAAAAAGGCTTTAATACCCACGATTAGAGAGTTAATAGCAATAGAACGTCCAAGGCCCAAATCTCCAAATGTACACCCCTGGGCAGACCCATCATAATTAAATTAGACCTTGCGGACCTTCCGCCAACCATGAATAATCAAGTTGGACAACATACCCATGATATGCTCCTGGGTGAGATAAAGGACCTTACGGGATGTTGTTGCATAATTCTTGCACACAGCATCACTTTCCTTAGGTGAATCACATGATTGACTGCGCAGCTGCTGTGTCAATTCCCGTGACATTTTTTAAAGGCCATTTTAAAGGTTTCATTGAAATATGAGTTGAGGATTTTCATGACGAAGAGTTCAACTTGTGGTTCATCATGTGAAGTGATGAACCTGATTAACCCTCCAGCTGTTTGAACAGTCACAGGCAGTCAAAAAGTCCATCCACCTCCCCTGCTATGCCTTTTACACAGGCTTGTCGCCAACAGTAAGCACTCTGACTAGTCATATTCAGTTAACAGACAAAAGCAGGCAATTGGTAGGCACAGCTGGCTTATCAATCACCTACAGTCAAAGCATAGCTGTATCAAGTTACATAAACAGTCACAGCCAGTCAATCCTGCTTCATGTAGGCTGGGAGCTCTTAACTGTTGAAAACAGTCGCTTGATTGATTTTGAATGCAAGGACAGCTTGGCACAGAATGTTTGTTTGCATAGGAGGGTTAAAGAAGAAGTATATTGGTTCTGCAAACGAACTAGAGTTATGGAATCAACGTTTCAGTCAGTATGCTTTCACCATCATCAGAGGAATGAGGATTAACTGACTGAATGGTACATGTACAGGGTATTTTGGGTTAATGTACCTTAGTTCTTCTCTGACCATACCTTTCTTTTAGTCACTTCACACACGGAATTATCCACAAACTTCGGCAAAACTTCTCCGTGATTCCCCCTTTCCAAACTCTAACACAATTCTTGAATTTTTTTCTCAAATAGGGGGGCCTACTATCCCCAGTCCCTTGTCTTAAATTGTTTATATGCCAACAGCCATATCAGAGGGTTCTGGAAACAGGTTCAGCTTTTAGCAGACAATCCCTTAACGGGAGGAAAAAAACAATCGGCTTGGGTGAGTCATTATGGGTCGGTCTCTGGCTAAGGATCATGCTCAGATCGCACTGTGCTGGGCTGTACCAGGGACCTGTATCATAATCAGCATGACTTACATGTACATACATCGCCCATTATACATGTACGGATGTACATATGCATGACTGCATGTATGCCTTTATATGTACGTGCAATGCGCTATGCCTGTACATACATGTACTACAAGTACTGCACATATAATATATGTGCTTGAAGTTTTTGTGTTAACTATTATGTGGCTAAAGTTTTGGCACGGGTAGCTTTGTATGACCGTGCAAAAATATAGACTTGTTTCAATATCTGTTTTGCATTTTGGGGAGAAGTTTACAGGAGACCATGTAAAGTGACTGTCTCGAAAAAGAAAGCGGGTACATGTAGCTTTGGAAAAAACTACATGTAGAGATGTTAACTTGAGGATTCCGTCAGTATTGGTTACAGCTAGTACACACAACGTGTAGTACACAGTTATGTCAATTTACCATTCCCATGCCGTTACAAACAAGAATGTAAATAGTACATACATGTATGTAAGTACGATGACATACATTGTATTGTCAGTTTCCATGCTGTAAAAGTTAAGAACAGGGTCAACTTCTGAAGAAAGTCACAAACCTGACCGTCTTGATATCCATGCACCATGCAATCGTCCATGGGTTGGGGATAAAAGTGTAGGCACTGACTGTCTGTATTGCCCAACCCATTGAGGGCACTTTCCTATGGAACTGTGGGAGATACTCGCGTATTTTCTGTTGCCACCAGCTTGAAGATATTGTTCCAAACATGTATCTAAAGTTTCAGAGTCGCGCTGAACCAAAAGCATATGGTCGATTCAAACAGACTTTGGTTTCAGACATGTATGCAAGCTTTATGCATGAATTTTCCATTGGCTAGAGCGACATTCAAAATCAAGCTGCTCTTCAGTCATTCAAAAAACTGCAGCGAACATTCTTTCAAGAAAATTTGCTCCCAACTCTTTCAAATGCCAAACTTTATTCCAATCTTTAAGTCAAATATAAAAGTTAAAGGGCCTAAGGTCTTGATCCAAGCAGGACTTTTGCCTGTGACAAAGGTCCAGCTAGGATTGGAAATTTAGGCTCTCTGTTTTGAAATGTTATATTTCCCGTCAATCCGGTCAGTAAGCTTTTTCCATCAGATTTATTCAATGTGACTCCAGAACACAAGTCTAAAACACGTGTAAAACTTACTTTCCAAAAATGCATTTTCCCAAGTTTAACATGTTAAAGTCCCCTTATCAGTAAAAAGAAATCAAATTGGCTAGGGAAAAAAAAACATGCAATGAAAAGTGAGAGGGGCCATGCCAGTTATGTTATTACCCCTTCGCTATCGCTGAGATTGACACCGTCGATGTCCTCTTCCTTGGAGTTGTAGTAGACGGCCTTCCGCTTGTCTTTCCTTACAAACTCCTTAAAGGAAAAAGGATTGTTGGGGTCTTCGTCTTTATCCTCAGCTTGATCTGCAAAAGTTTAGAAAAAAAAGGACCAGATAGATCGTGACACATCACTTATTTGTTGTCATTATTTGCAACCCCCCTGTAGAAACAGAAAGCAATGGTCTAAAAACTTTTGAACATTCACCAGCCACTTTATATGCTCAAATAATTGAGGCGAAGCCACCAATTTCAAGGCAAAACAAACAATAACAGAAAAAAAAACAAATGAACAACCTAATCCTAAGTATCATACAATCTTAAGTAAAGTATCTTACCAGACATTTCCTACATAAAGACCACAGATGCTTAGACATACATGTACTGTTTTTTTTTCTGTGCACTGTCCAAAATTTGTCTTGGGCCTTACGTCACCTCACACTTTACTACAGAGAAGTTGCACTGACATCACCTTACTTAAAACTAATTAATACTAACCAGCTAACATACCATCTCTTTCCTGCCTTAGAAACAGATGTTAAAGCTTGATGATACATGCATTCGCACTTCACTGGTTCTGTAGACGATGACCGACCTTAGCAACTCAATATGCAAATTTTCATGCACATCCCTAAAAAAACCACAAAATCCTTAACTTTTGCCTGTACTGACCTCTGTTGTGACTGCCTTCTCTGACCGATTTGCTCTGGGTTTTGGGCTTTTTTCTAATCCTGAACTTGTAGAGCGAAGTCATGTCGGCACCACGCACGACAGCAGGTTAAATCCACGGAGCAGCTTAGAGGGTGTATGGTACTGCTGATTGATCTGGCATTGTTCATAGTGACGGCACACGCAAGACTACTGGAGATCGAGCCCAGGCAGGAGTGAGTTCAGCGAGTCGTCCCGCCGGCTTTCGGGGGACTTTATTTTTTAAAGCGCCTGGCGAATCCCACTAGGCATTGCTGACACTCACTGCCTAGTCATCAGCCTGTGTGCGTGTCTTGCAAAGCCAGACAGAGAGAGACACACAAGAGGGTTGAAAGGGGAGAGGGGGGGGGGGGTCGAGTTGGCCAGGAGCAAGGGAAAGGAAGCCAAAATGTGAGTCGGCCTGCCTAATTATGCGGCAACTCTCAGGATATTGATGGACAAAGCGGATGCAGGAAGCTGCTGCATTGGGAATTAGCGAGCCTAGATTGAGCCGAGAAGTGCATGTCAATGCCTTTAAGAGGGTATGGTGATTGGTGGGGCAGGGGGGGGGGGGGGGGAGGTGTGGGGCGAGGGAGGGGGGGGGGGGAGAGGTGGTGATCAAGGATGTTGATAATTGATCTACGTGTAGAGCTACAAATCTCTATAGCTCCGTAGCCATTGGTCACATTTTGAGGACTACTGCTAGGAGAGTAGAGGTTTGAAGTTATGGCGGTAAAATTAACATTTCCTGCTGACATTTGCGAGACCAACTTGACTCACCGAACACAAGGTAGGCCTACAATAAAGTCATTTTTTGGAAATGGCAATTGTTATGGCAGTAGTCATGGTAGTAATGCATTCAACACTGGCTACTGTACGGTGTAAAGTCACAGCGAGGCAACCAGACATCGCACAACAATACATCATGGGCGTAGCCAGGATTTTTTTAGGGGGGGGGGAGGGGCAAAACACAATTGTTCCCCCAAATCCTTGTACTTTCTCTAGCATATTCTCACTTTATCATTTTTTCGATGGTGGGCGGGGAGACATTTGCCCCCCCCCACCCAAATTGACACCCCTGTAGATGCCCATTTTGTTAAATGTATATTAAATTAATATCAAAGTATGACTTCAGACCTCTTTTTCTTATCTTTTTTTTCCTCCCCCCTCTCGACGCCCATGCAATACATGTATCTCAAATTAACATACTGTTCAAAATGGTTTTACCGCTCACTAGATTACAAATTGCATGACTACAATTGTACCGCTGAGTACTAGTGGCTTGAGTTCAACTTCAAGTCTCCTTCAACTATCTTTTTGTTTTTTTGGTTTCTCCCAATTGATGTGAATGTGCTTTGATTGGTCACCTGACCAATCACAGGGCACTTTGATTGGTCATCAATCAAAGTGCCCTGTGATTGGTCTGTCTGATGCTTGCCTGGAAACAGTCTAGCCAGAGCCATGCACAAGTCTACTTTTCTTGAATTAAAAATGGCAGCCTCAAACAAGGCGTTTGTGACAAGGATGTTTCCCTTTGTTTGTGACAAAGGTGAAATTTCTCTTTTTTTCCCAAAGGTATGTAAACCTTACCACCACTATTTGTATTTCCAATTCCCACTGAAGCCTACAGAGGCGCGCATAAGGCAGTTTGAAGACTGTTTTGGGGGTGGAATCTGAAGATTTTGATTGGGGGTACGAGCATGACGAGTGAAAATGGTAAAAAAAAATATTAGTAACGCAATACGGCTACTACTAACTATCGCCCGACCATGTCCAAATGTTAAAAAAGGCGATTCGTAGAGTCCTAGTTAATCAGAGAGGGATAACAATTAACATGTCCTAAAAAGTGAAATTTAGCAGGGAAAATATTGAGGCGATCGTGTAGTGTAGGGCCCGGTTCTACTATAAGGGAACAAATCCACTTTAAAATTAGGGTGTGGGTATTTTGCGGAACTTGCAGAACGTGCAGAACTCTGCGGAACTCTGCAAAATTGTTAATAAAACACTAAATTAAGATGAAATACTGGCTTTAAAAGTACAACAAGCGACAAATCTCATTATTAAGTCTCAAAATCGTCACATTCTACCCTTAAATAAATTGAAAATAAAAGATTTCCCACCTGTTTGTGCCGTCGTATAATAATTGTGTGTAGTATTTGCAGAACAGTGCAGAACACATGCTGTACAGGGATACATGCCGTTTACAAACCAAGGGTGCAGCTTTGACTCAGTGCTCTGTGAAGCACGTGTTTTAAACAGTTGATAGGGGGATAATGTACCGCTGCAGAACGAATTCTGCAGAAGTAACATTATGGAATAATCGTAATGTTTTATTTGCAATGTCAACAATTGTCTTATATCCTGCACAAGTTTATGGGAAGGCCTTCTGTATCAATAGTTCCATGTTTTACCCAGGCAACGCAATCAATGGGTATGGGCCTCCGAGAGTTTCGCGTTTTACACAGGCAGAATCAAAATTAAAAATCATCACAATGTTTTAATTTTAATCTGGATAAGTGTAAGGGTTATTTGTCCAAATAGGCCTATTGCAGGGTATGTGCAGTATACGCGTACTGGCTCCGATACAGTAGGAGGGGGCATCTTTAGCGCTGCAGAACCAACATTAAAAATCGTCACAATCTTTTAATTTTAATCTTGATGAATGTATTATATTCTCAACAACTCCTCTGATTTTTTTCTTTCGGAAATTCACCCGGGAAGACCTTTGAAAATGAGAGTTCCGCGTTTTACCCACCTAGGTTTTTTTTTGTCCAAACAGGCCTATTGCACGGTATATGCAGTATACGCGTACTGGCTCCGATGCCGTAGGAGGGGGCATATTTATCGCTGCAGAACCAACATTAAAAATCGTCACAATGTTCTAATTTTAATCTGGATAAATGTATTATATTCTCAACAACTCCTGTGATTTTTTTCTTTCCGAAATTCACCAGGGAAGATTTTTTAAAATGAGAGTTCCGCGTTTTACCCACCTAGGTTTTTTTTTTGCAAATAGGCCTATGCACGTTATGTGCAGTATACGCGTACTGGCTCCGGTGCCGTAGGAGGGGGCATCTTTAGCGCTGCAGAACCAACATTAAAAATCGTCACAATCTTTTAATTTTAATCTGGATAAATGTATTATATTCTCAACAACTCCTCTGATTTTTTTCTTTCCGAAATTCACCCGGGAAGATCTTTTAAAATGAGAGTTCCGCGTTTTACCCACCTAGTTTTTTTGTGCAAATAGGTCTATGCACGGTATATGCAGTATACGCGATACTGGTTCCGATGCCGTAGGAGGGGGCATCTTTAGCGCTGCAGAACCAACATTAAAAATCGTCACAATATTTTAAATTTAATCTGGATAAGTGTATTATATTCTCAACAACTCCTCTGATTTTTTTCTTTCGGAAATTCACCCGGGAAGACCTTTTAAAATGAGAGTTCCGCGTTTTACCCACCTAGGTTTTTTTGTCCAAGTAGGCCTATGCACGGTATGTGCATTATACGCGTACGTACTCTGATGCTGTGGGAGGGGGCATCTTTAGCGCTGCAGAACCAACATTAAAAATCGTCACAATCTTTTAATTTTAATCTGGATAAATGTATTATATTCTCAACAACTCCTGTGATTTTTTTCTTTCCGAAATTCACCCGGGAAGACCTTTTAAAATGAGAGTTCCGCGTTTTACCCACCTAGGTTTTTTTGTCCAAGTAGGCCTATGCACGTTATGTGCAGTGTACACGTACTGGCTCCGATGCCGTAGGAGGGGGCATCTTTATCGCTGCAGAACCAACATTAAAAATCGTCACAATCTTTTAATTTTAATCTGGATAAATGTATTATATTCTCAACAACTCCTCTGATTTTTTTCTTTCCGAAATTCACCCGGGAAGACCTTTTAAAATGAGAGTTCCGCGTTTTACCCACCTAGGTTTTTTTGTCCAAGTAGGCCTATGCACGTTATGTGCAGTGTACACGTACTGGCTCCGATGCCGTAGGAGGGGGCATCTGTATCGCTGCAGAACCAACATTAAAAATCGTCACAATCTTTTAATTTTAATCTGGATAAATGTATTATATTCTCAACAACTCCTCTGATTTTTTTTCTTTCCGAAATTCACCCGGGAAGACCTTTTAAAATGAGAGTTCCGCGTTTTACCCACCTAGGTTTTTTTTGTCCAAGTAGGCCTATGCACGTTATGTGCAGTGTACACGTACTGGCTCCGATGCCGTAGGAGGGGGCATCTTTAGCGCTGCAGAACCAACATTAAAAATCGTCACAATCTTTTAAATTTAATCTGGATAAGTGTATTATATTCTCAACAACTCCTGTGATTTTTTTCTTTCGGAAATTCACCCGGGAAGACCTTTTAAAATGAGAGTTCCGCGTTTTACCCACCTAGGTTTTTTTGTCCAAGGAGGCCTATGCACGTTATGTGCAGTGTACACGTACAGGCTCCGATGCCGTAGGAGGGGGCATCTTTAGCGCTGCAGAACCAACATTAAAAATCGTCACAATCTTTTAAATTTAATCTGGATAAGTGTATTATATTCTCAACAACTCCTGTGATTTTTTTCTTTCCGAAATTCACCCGGGAAGACCTTTTAAAATGAGAGTTCCGCGTTTTACCCACCTAGGTTTTTTTGTCCAAGGAGGCCTATGCACGTTATGGGCAGTGTACACGTACTGGCTCCGATGCCGTAGGAGGGGGCATCTTTAGCGCTGCAGAACCAACATTAAAAATCGTCACAATCTTTTAATTTTAATCTGGATAAATGTATTATATTCTCAACAACTCCTCTGATTTTTTTCTTTCAGAAATTCACCCGGGAAGATCTTTTAAAATGAGAGTTCCGCGTTTTACCCACCTAGGTTTTTTTGTCCAAGTAGGCCTATGCACGTTATGTGCAGTGTACACGTACTGGCTCCGATGCCGTAGGAGGGGGCATCTTTAGCGCTGCAGAACCAACATTAAAAATCGTCACAATCTTTTAATTTTAATCTGGATAAATGTATTATATTCTCAACAACTCCTCTGATTTTTTTCTTTCGGAAATTCACCCGGGAAGACCTTTTAAAATGAGAGTTCCGCGTTTTACCCACCTAGGTTTTTTGTGCAAATAGGCCTATGCACGGTATGTGCAGTATACGCGTACTGGCTCCGATGCCGTAGGAGGGGGCATCTTTAGCGCTGCAGAACCAACATTAGAAATCGTCACAATCTTTTAATTTTAATCTGGATAAATGTATTATATTCTCAACAACTCCTCTGATTTTTTTCTTTCCGAAATTCACCCGGGAAGACCTTTTAAAATGAGAGTTCCGCGTTTTACCCAACTAGGTTTTTTTTGTCCAAGTAGGCCTATGCACGTTATGTGCAGTGTACACGTACTGGCTCCGATGCCGTAGGAGGGGGCATCTTTAGCGCTGCAGAACCAACATTAAAAAT